TGTGCCCTGACACCAACTTGGCATAATGACACCTTTCAGATTTGTCAATGAGGTCCTGTTCTCCAACCCGTCTGGGTAAAGGCAAGATAGAGAATCTGATTTGAAGCAAACAGGTGTTGGATGGATGTCAGAGGCGTCTATAAAATTTGGGTAACCGTTTCATGTTTAACCAAATAGAAAACCTGATTATGAATAACCTTTGAACTGAATGGAATGGACAAAGAACGTAGATTTAGCTCGTACTTTAATCGTCCGAATCAAGCTATCATGGGGAATGAGATTAAAGTGCCATTAATTTCTGGCCACTTTTATTACCTCTTTCGCGAGGCTAAAAACTTCAGTTCAGAGGAAAAAAAGGCGCTAAATATAACTAGAAATGAAGGAAATCAAAGATTTTCAATGACGTTTTGTGAGAACAACAAAAAAAGTTTAGTGATGAGGGTTTCATCCCAGTGAAAACAATGTACTTTTAACCCTCTTGACTCAGATTGTCACTTTAAGGGGCACTCACACGCAATTTTTCTTTTTGGTCACTAATCCCCACCCCCCTGAGCAGGAGGGGGGAGGGAGTGTTGGGCGTTCCTTGCCCCACTGCTACCAACTCTCTCATCCACCATTACCTGTGCTGTGCACCAGCAGTAGTAGCGCGGCAGTGAGAAAGAGTACAACAACGATCCAAGAATAGCCCACATGAGGGAGAATTAGTGCTCGGAGGGGAGGGGCACAAAAATAAATGTTGTGAGGAGCACATCGGCAGATCTTGCATGAACTAAAATAGTTCGCGTTTTCTTTCTGAGCTTAAATTAGCTTCAATGCCGTGCATTTTTAAAAGAGATATTTTTTATCGCAACAAAAAAGCTTGACTTTGCCTGCGTTATTTATTGAAGAGGATGTCGTTTGGGGATAGACAAATGATGCGTTTGATGATTGCTGTGTTGGACGCATAAGATTGATGCTGCTCATAGTGAGATGAAATAGCGAAGCGTATTCGATGTTAAAAAACAACTTCCAACTAGTATACTTTTTTCTCCTAGATGATGTATCTCTCCGTACGTTAAGTGCCTGTATTAAAACTCCACGAAATCCACGAGTTTAGGGCTTCATTCAATGGCAAACTCTCACTTCACTTAATAAAAGATCATAAGCTCCAACATTTCTGCCAGCAGTCGACATGTTCAGATGTATACAAGACAACCACGTACGAGTAGGTAGATGTTAATAAAATGGCAGCAATGAAGTTTACTATGGTGATACGCATATCATCATCATTTGGCCGTTGATGTACTTCATCTGATTCACCTAACACCTGGTTGGTCGACATGACAGAGCCCCCAAATAAGCACCCACCCGTGGAAGGCTAGGTAAAAGAAACCAGAAACAAACAATGTGAAGTGGAGTAACAGCAGGTCGAGGACAAACACAGCAGCATAAATCACAAGGCAGGCACGCGTTCCCATGGCGCATTGCATGTTTCGGTGGTCCGACCTAATAAATGGACGGTGTTCATTGGGTCTCACCAAACGTTACTAAGAAGAGAAGTCGCCATAAAATCAACTGATTACGATACTGTAGGACTACCGACTTGGTCTGTGGTGAAGCTACACCAAAAATGGTGCTGCTAAGTACAACTGTTTAATAAAAATAGTCCATGTATTTATTCAGTCAAGTAATAGTCCGAAGTGACGCATTCTGTTGGAAAGGAGCTTAAGTCAGGCGGTTATATATCATGACAGATGGGTATGCACGATTCTACATTTTGCATGATTAATTTGAACCGAGCGATGCGAATGTTGTGATAGAGATCAGAGGGAGAGAGGAAGAAAACTAATAACCCTGGAGCGAACCAGAATCATGACACCTCGGAGGAGCCCACCGACCTGATTTAATATTCAAGTGCATCATCGTTGAAGTGCCATCATATTTTTTTAATCCCCTTATCAGCACAGTGAATATATCTTCTGAAGCACATTTTTTCATGATCTGCGAACTCTGGCATGAGTGACTTACTGCTACGGATAGTGGCGATGATGAGCGGTAATGCTGGACACTCTCAGAGGACACGTTAGAGTTTGGAATGAGTAAAAAGTAAACCGAGTAACTTAGGGCAGAGGCTGTGGCAAACGAGGTGCCTGTTGGTTGGTTCTAGCCTTTGTTTGATGCCAGTAGCTATAGGAAAACTGCCACACGATTATAAAACCCCAAATCGAAACCTTATGACATGCCAAAACAAACAAAAACTGGTGTGCATTCAGAAGCAAAGTTGGGATTTTATAAAATGCAATACAGGTGAAGGTAAAGTGGGTGATTATGGGACTTAAGCATTTGTAATTGAAGATTTTACAAGCAATAAATGCCTGGATCGGACAATTCCAAGAATGGGATTACATCAGCTGCAGGAGAGCATGCTTAAGTAGAAGTTTCGTTGATCCTCGACAATACTTACTTACCTACTTACTTACAGCCAGATTACAAGCTGAATTGCCAAAATTCATTACCAATGAAAGCCAAATGATCTTGCGTTGTCGAGGGACTACCAAATGAGGTGTTAGCCTCAAGGTCTACCAATTGACTACTGCATATACCTTTCATCCTCATCTCATCTACCGTAAAATAAAGGTACTTTTCAATGCTAAATCACCTTATTATGCCCTACTTAGGCGGCGTCAAAGCTACAGAGTTGGTAGTAGTAAATGGGCATAGAGATAAAGCCTGTACGGAACTACGAATGACTTCAACGGATCTACCATTATGCCACCCCGATTCGGAATAGAGGCAGTGAAGGAAGTACACTTTGACTTAGTAGATAAGTAGGAGTAAATTACTGAGGCGCTAAAGCAAAGAAGTGCTCCTTCACAGGAGGTGTGTTGTAACCATTTTCTTCAACGGCAAAGGGGACTACCAACTTACTCATGCTTGATGCAAAGCGCTTTTTACAGGAGGAAGACAACATTTGAGGCTTGGAACATTGAAAAAAAATTTGGTTACGACGTTGGAAAAGAAGGACCTGCCTGACGCCTAAACTGTTGAACACAGCAAGGTAATAACTTCTCCCTTTCCAAAACAAAGCGTTACAGTGGGCCAATTAATGCGTACATGGCCATCCATCCAAGAGAAGAGATAAATTAAATGCTTCAATCCCCTTTACCATTGGCCAAGCAGATGAATAGGAAGGAGGCAAATTTGCCTAAACATTGAAAGAAGCCAAGTCCCCATGGCTACTGAGAAAAAGAGGCCTAACACAAACAAAATTCCCCATAGGAGAATGATAAATAGATCCCCATTTAAATATTTTGTGTACTTTGGGTAACAGAGCATTCGGCTGCAGCACGTGGACAGCGTTGACTTTGAATGCTGACATATGAAGGGGTAAATATTACGGGAAAATCCGTGGCACTGGTCGGAGCCAAATGGTTCGCTTCAAATGAAAATTAAGTCTAATTTTTTCAACTGTTCGGTAATATTAGGCGGACATTTGCCCAAAAGCCAACTTCAGATTAGTTTGACGCTAAAAGGACGGACACTCCACACCTTCAGTTATTCTCAAACCAATCCTACGTATGTACACATTCATGTGCAGATATAATTAGGATGCTCCTCTAGGATCTAGTGGACGGAATGCTTAAACTCGCAGATGCTTGAAGTAAAAGCGATGAAAAATAGACTCTTGCAGAAGTATTTATTTCAGATGAGGTCACCAAATAACAGTTACCTACTTATTCCCTCAGTTAGCTACAGATAATGAAGTAGACTCTCAAAGAGCCACGCCATATAGTTTTGTACACAGAAGAATTTTATTAATCTGGACTGTGTCGGCTGGTTGAGCGAGAAATACAGGAATGCACGATGCCTGATCAGTTGAAGCTCAAGGCATGCTTTCTTCTCAAATAACGACAAGTCAGTAGGGCAGAAATAAACTTAGATGAAGCTTACAAGCGTAGGTCAAATAAAGGGCTTTTTTATGAGGCCAGGCAGTAACTTAGAGAAACCTGTGCATACAAAAAACAGCCTGAGATGCCAATGCCCAAGGGACTGCCGATGCAGTGAGTTCCCTTTCTTTCAATTACACTTTCGCATGATAAGAATTTTACTTGCCAAGGTAGTGTACAGAGCAGATAATGGGCCCTCTTTCCAGGCACTGTAAATTAAGTATCCAGCGCAAATTACACAAGGCAGCGACTGTGAATGGGTTGAAAGCCAGGTCCTTTCTATCAGATTAGAGTATAGTGGTTGATAAAGCGACGACTGCTTGACAGGGTAAAATGACTGTCAATTCAGTGTATGAATCAATTTTAACTACGTAATTTGACGAAATGGTAAGCTCCTGTTAAATTACTTTTGTGAACTAAAATTGATGCTTGACAGCTTTCTTGCCTATGTATAGAAGTTACTGATGATCAACCGTTGTGATTAAATTATTATTCATTTTTAGAAATATGAGTAGTCTATTTTATCAATTTCTCAATAGTAAGTAGTATTTAAGACTTGCTCACAGCAAACTGTGTATTTCAAGTATACTAGAGGATAAAAGAATGTTATTAAACCATGAGCATTCTTATATTTTAAGAAAGTTTTATTTAAGAGTTGCATCTTAACTCAAATCTGAGTTAACGGCGCCCTTTCACAGCTTTAGTAAATAAACAATTCTGGACTTAACAAAAAATTTTAACTGCCGTTTAATATTTCTGCTTAACGTAGACAGAGCAAATTGGGGAAAACATAGCAAAAAAGACATTCCAAAGAGACAGAATACAGCAATGCCAGTTTCTGAAGCAGCAAAATAATTGTGTGGATGCCAATAAAAGTGGTAATAAACAAGCAAGGTGCCCGGATAAAACACTAATTAGTGAAGGGATTGCTTCAATGGGCACTTTTAAAGTCTCCTACAAACTATTTATTCAAAAAACAGCCAGACGTCGATCAAAGAATGCCTTTAATTCTACAAGAATTCTGTACGGTCGTGTGATGTACTTATGAGGGTCAAGAAAAGGCAATGTTAGATTTTAAGGATTAATAACACCAAACACACTTAAAGAATTTAAATAATATATGGAGGAGATATCACACATTAAAGGGATTGGGTGGTTCAAATTACCTGGGTTAATGGGTGAAAATTTCACCACTGTTTTGAAACAACTTGCTATTTGATATACCGGTTGGGTTGGGTCACTCATTTAAGTATTAGAACCAAAAATTCTATGAGAAGTACAATTTCGTAAAACTCCGACACGTAAAGGGAAAATGTCAAAGTGAATGCATTCAAAGAAGAAACTATTAGGCTGCACTTTTTAAGAAAAAGAAGGACAAAACATTTCAAGCAAGCACTACTGCGAAATTCAACTCCCATCAATTGCTATTTGTAAAGTCTCTGAACTTTATAATCCTGAAGTAAAAAGTAGCATCGCAACTGATTAAACGCTTCATGTACACCAAAAGCAGACACGACCAACAAAACATATGGGAGAACGTACCTATTGACTCAATCCGGAATCCCGGAGGAGGTTGTAGCTGGGCCCGCATCCAGCAGCTTTTCAATGTGCGAAGTGAAGCTTCATCGCCACCAATGAGAATAACAAAGGGCTCGATGTGACCCAATAACAAGCACTTTTTCAGCGCCTGACTTAAGTAGGGGTTGGTTGTATTTGCGACATTGACATTAAGAAAGGATTTAAATACATCGTATATATTGAATGTGCGCACCGCTAATGCGAACTCTTGCTGGAAAGCAATCGCTAAGCACCGAGTGGATGATAGTATTCCTAGATTCATATTTTAGTGCGCAACAACTATCTATAAGACAAAGTATGCATATGACAGGAAATGCAGACCTTATCACGGGAACACAAAGAGCCGAATAAACCATCCCCGCACTGTTTAAAGTGGCACAGCGTTTGAGATGAATTTAAACGAACTATAGGTGACCCAAATATTAATTGGCTCACAGCAACATTCACTAAATCAGATACGAGCAAAAACAATTTTATATTTGGATCAATAGCCGTGCACTAGAATAATGTGCACAAAAATTCACATCTCTATATCCCACTTTTTTGTAAACAAATTATCGGCAAGAAAAGTTATCTAAAGCCAATTTTGCACTCCTCCTAAAACGGTTAAAAATTTTGCCATGCTTACAAGTGACTTTTTGAAAGTGGTCCTAGTTCCTTTACCTCTTTGCCATGGTTATTCCTAGCGCTGATTTAACTTTGCAAATTCTAAATAATTTGCCCATGTATGCAAAAATCCGCGCTTGAATAATGCAATTCCCCCAAAAAACGCCAGATTTTTATTATGTTTTTTCATACTGCGCCTGTTCATCTGCGACGAATAATTACATTGGCAACGCATACCCGTCCTTTGAGATCGGCATAATCCGCATTCTTATCTATCAATCTTTTAGACAAAACCAATGAAATTTCAATGGTCGAGTCACAAATTAAAAAGCAATATGGCGCACTTGCATTAAATCAGCACTAACAACAAATTACATGGGGTGCTAGAGCAACTCCTTCAACATACATTCGTATGGAAAAGTGGATACATTGTAGCGTCCCGGGACTCCCTGAAGACGAAAGAAGACACAATACTCGGACAGAATATATATAATCAGCACGGAAAAGGTGTCTGCGCTACTGGCATGGCCCAAAAGGCCAGCCCCACCCAGCGAGGTACAAGAGGGCTGATTCAAAGTACAAAAGTGGCGCCTCACCAATGCCGAGGGATAAACCACTATCGTATTACAACATGGCTAGTGTGGCTTAAATAAAGTTAATTCTCAAGCCCACCGGTCTTGACTTCTTCCACTGACAGAAGGAGCCTACGAAATTCCCTAACTTTGAGGAAAAATCAATAGGGTTCACGCGACATAACGCAGAGGATACTACCGGTAGAACGGCACATCAGGATCGGTATGATATGGTAGCCGTCGACCCACAAATCTCGTTAATTGGTGAGACAACCCGTTTAAGTGATTTCATCGAAGGTGCTCCACCCCCACAGGGCGAGTTGGTGCCCGCTGTGGATAATCGTGTCCACAACCAGTCGAATACAAAAGTCTCCATCAACAGTAATAATGAGCTGTTGGATTCCTACATATCACGGCTATGGAGGATTCGAGAAAAGGCAAATCGATCTCTAATGCTGACTAGTGATGAGATGACAAGTATTTGTCGAAGTGTTCGCACCCTTTTCCTTACACAGCCTGGCCTTCTTGACCTTGGAGGACCGATCAAAGTTTGCGGTGACATTCACGGTCAATACGATGACTTGCTCCGCCTATTTGAGCTCTGTGGACTGCCTGATAAAGTTAATTATCTATTTCTAGGGGACTATGTCGATCGTGGGAGACAAAGTCTAGAGACGATTTGTCTACTTTTCTGCTACAAACTTCGTTATCCAACCCGCTTTTTTCTGCTTCGTGGAAACCATGAGAGTCAAGCGATTTCACGTATCTATGGTTTCTTTGAGGAGTGCAGAAGACGATTTTCCGTAAAGCTATGGAGAACGTTCATTGACGCATTCTCCTGTATGCCTGTAAGCGCAATAATCGAGAATCAAATATTCTGCTGTCATGGAGGCCTCTCACCAGAAATGCTTACTCCAGAGCTCACCAGTCTGGCTGACTTGAAACGCAAAATCAGGGAAATTATTCGTCCTTGTGACGTGCCGGATTGTGGACTGCTCTGTGATCTTCTCTGGTCAGATCCCTGGTACCTAGAGTCTGTGGGAGATGGCCGCGAACCTCGTGGCTGGGAGCCAAGTGAACGAGGCGTCTCCTACATGTTTGGTCCGGACATTATCGATCGCTTCTTGGAGCGTTTCAATCTGGATCTCATTTGTCGGGCCCACCAAGTAGTGGAGGATGGGTATGAGTTCTACGCCAATCGCTCTCTTGTTACAATCTTCTCAGCGCCCAATTACTGCGGCGAGTTCGATAACGCAGCAGCGGTCTTTTGTCTAAATCGAGCAGTCCTGGCTCCGAACTACCCTTTTGACTCCACGTCTAGTCTGAGAAATCAAGAGGACGCGGAACTGGAGGGAAGCTTCCACATACTTCGCACCGATGTTCCTGGAGGCTCGCGACCTAACGCCTCCTCGGGACTTACGACTCATCCAAATAGTGCCCAAGGACCCAAGTAGGCACACACCTACGCACACGAATGCTAACAAACACCATCTTAAGTAGTTGGGTTAGTGATTTCAAGCGATTACTTCTTGAAGATTTCATTTAATCTTTATTTTCTATCTTTCAACTATGAATATTGTAGCCCAGAGTTGCTTTTCTTCCCACGGAGGATGAGGTGGACACTCAACCATTTTACAGGTGTAATGAGGGCAGGACGGCTTTTTCATTATACAGAATGTCGGCGCTTATAGAAATCACTTTATGAAAAAAAAACCTAATAGTCAAATTTGATTAAAAAATAGACTTTCAAGTAATCGAAACAGTTAATAAAGCTTTGATGCGCCAATGCTACAACCAGTACATTTTCATTACTTGTTAGAATCTAGCACAATGAAAAGTGACCCAAGTTTTGATAAAATAAATTTCGTGATGCAACTTTAGCGCCCCAGTCCTTCCTGAACTTGGAAGAAGGCGTGATACTCGGGGAGTACCTATACCGCCAATGCACAAAAGGGCTGAGGGAGCTACTGGTATGGCCCAGAGGTCATACCACCCAGCAGAAGTACAGCGGTGGAGCCTTAAGTGGCCGCGAAATTAAAACGTAGAGTTAAACAATCAAAGTATTACACAGCCCACCTCGCCTTTCTAGCGTCGTCCCTGGCGCTCTCCTTGGTTAACCTCCCTCGTCGTCCATCAAAATGTAGTTGCTGCTGCAAAGGAACCATCCACAAAATAACTGCACCAGTCACCGAATTCGCGTGCAACCGACCGCAACGTCACCGATACCCCCTAGCAATTCTTCTAAATCTGGAGTTTCGTCCTACTTTGGAACTGTGTTGAAGGAAGGGGGAAGGTGCTGGCCATCCCGTGTGTCCATTGCTAGTGGTAGGAACACTCGCCTAAAGGCAGAGTCATTTAACGAAGGACGGAGTTTAAAGCGGTTTCGTGGAGATAAGGTTTTACAGCTATTCCTCCCTGCCACTTTGTTCTCACTTCAGCGCTGCCCAGCTATACCTATCCAGGTAGTAGAATTAGAGGCGGTATCGCGTGTTCACTTAATTGACATATTCGTACAGAAGGTTCACAGTTGATGTCGCTTCAGACACCGATCCAAGTGAGAACTTGCTAAGATAAACGTTGACAAGAGAGGTTGATTTGGTTTAAGGCATTTGTTTCACCTTAGTAAACGCTGAAATGATGAGGAGGATAAGAGGAAGCACACCCACTCCGTACGTAAGAACTGGTAAACAAGTTCTGTAGCAAAAATACTATCTGCGTACCATTGTTATCCAAAATCCAACAGTACCGAGATATGGGAAAGCACAAAAACAATTTGAAAAGGGGTAAGAGCCCCTGTCAGCAAATAGAGGCTGCATCCGTGAGGAGAGATCAAAAAAGCAAGCTCAGGAGTTTAATACTCCTGCAATTACTTACTGGGACTAACTCCAGATGGGTGCAGCAATTCAGAGGCACTTACGAAGCCAGCGCTTGGGTTATTGGGCTATAAAGTACCTCAACTCGCTGCCATCCACATAAATTTCCCCAATGCCAACAGAAAAAGACAAAACAGAAATAAAAAACCGCCAATGAAGGTCGATCGTAAATGCAGGATTAAAGATCCATTAACTGGAGTTTAAATTGAAGTAGAAGGAAAAACCAGTGCACAAATCCAGAGCCAGTAAACATCGCCTCCCATAAACGAGGAATGGCGCGCAAGCTCAACGACAAAGAAGTTCAAGACCAAAACAAGAGACATCTATTCATTCAACTGCCAAATAAGATCCATCTCAAATGTCATAATTCTACTGCCTTTGACTAAGATGGGTACAGGAGTAGAAGCTGGTGATGGTCTATACATGGGGTGTTAGGTGTGAGTCTTGCCTAGTTGCGCTTCTTCTTTTTACTCTTGACAGCGGCGTTGGCAACACCAGAGTTCGCCTTTCCCGCCTCAGCCTCCGCAATCACTTCCTCGATGGTGTCGCTGCGGGCGGGACAGTATTTACAGTACTCCATCGTGTACTCTCCCTTGCCTTCAGTCAGCCCTCGCAGCTCTCCTGCGTAGCCGAACATGTCGTTTAGGGGGACCTTTAAAATGCAAAAGAGTGAAACAATCAAACAACTGTTCCATGAGGATACCTAAACTCTAGGGTGATGGTATAATTAGATCTTCATGGGTACAAAAGCAGTAAGAGATACTAATATACGCGTTCAATGAACTACGTCTAGAATGCACGAGTTCTTGGCAAATTATAGTTAGTGGATAAGACATCAACATTCTCATCTTCTTACCTCAGCGACAACCCGAGCATATGCGTCACTGACATCGGTGTCCACAATGAGACCATTGCGTCGAGTCACGGAACTGAGAAGCTGGCCGTGGAACTCCACCGGTGCCGTGCATTCCACCAACATGATCGGTTCGAGGATGGTCCAGTTACCTCGCTCGAACGCTATGAGAGGAAGGTGGTATCAGTTTTAGTACTAAGTCTGAAATGACCAAACCCACTTCTACAGATCCACAAAAAACAACTTTAACGTAAGGAAATAAGAGCTGAGTGGATATGAAAACCGGCACCACTGAAATCGGCTCTAGAGCAGTTCGGTTGCATCAATCGAAGAACAAGGCAGCGAGAGGAGGAATCAGCCAATTTAGCAAGAGTGGTGGCACTTTACACGGGCAGTGCTGAGTAAGGTGCACATATGAGAATGCCTTTTTAAAAACTCGACTGTTTTTTATCAGACTTTAATGATCCAGAGGTTCTCGTCTGAAGATCTCAAAACTCCTACTTTTGGGAAACATCAGAGCACCAAATCCTAACTATCAAGTAGTCTCCGGGTATTTAGGACAAAGTTTTACATTGCTACTGTTTGCTGCAAAGCACGAGGACAAAAACTTACTCTGTCGCATGGCGCCTTCAGCAGCCTGTTGGAAGGCCCAGTCACTGCTGTCGACGCAGTGGTGGGCACCGTCCTGAAGTCGGAAGCGCACTCCTACCACCTTGGCACCGCACAGGCTGCCGCCGGCCTCACAGATGCCCCGGAAGCCCGTCTCGATGGCAGGGACATAGGGCTTGGGAATATTGGTACCCATTGTCTCGTCAGAGAAGAGCACTTGCGTATTCTGCTCCATCGGCAGCGGCTCCAGCAGCCCAATCACCCGACCGTACTGGCCCGCGCCGCCCGATTGCTTCTTGTGCAAGTAGTCGAAGCTGGCATAATCAAAAAAAAAGAAATAGATGTGATTTTGTTACAAATATTCTAGCCAAGGAAAGCTTTGCAAAAGATCCTTTTGAGTTGTAACTTGACAGCTGGCGAAATGGAAAACTTCTACCATTATAATTTTTAACTAGACTGACACGAGCACACTACCGATGTATATGTGATGACAACGATAAAGAGAGAAAAGTCAAACTGAAGCAACTCACGGCACCGGTTCAAGGAGGGTCTCGCGGAAGGCGACCTTTGGCTTGCCCAGAACACAGGGTGTGTTGTACTCACGAGCCAAACGTTGAGCGTATATCTCCAAGTGCAGTTCGCCCATGCCTGAGACCAGCGCCTGGCCACTCTCGGGATCGTGGCAAAGACGGAAGGTGGGATCCTCCTTGGTAAAACGTGCCAAACCCTTGCTGAAGCCGTCTACGTTGTGCTTATCCACAGGTGTAATGGACATAGACACCACCGGCTCTGGAATGTACATCGACTCCTGCCAGGGTTTGACAAAGTGAATGCATATCATGTTTCTGGCCGATTGCATTTTGACAAAAGGAAATGGGAAGGTTTTGATTTCTGACGTTCTGATGCAACCGAACAATAAACCCATTTTTCTTCCTTTCAAGTAAGTTAAAACCAACATTAAATCTGCTAATTGTTAGGCCATTAGTGCTGAGAATTTCTGAGCTAATAGGAAACCTGACATTTCAGTGGTAATGTGGAGAACATGTTACCTCTGATAGTAAGTAGTAACAATATCAGATTTAACTGATCGAAAGTAACACTTTTGACACTCCAAATGGTTAAAAAGCTAACTGTCATCCCGCAAACGCATGGAAAGTTACACTAAGATTAATTCCTTCCGAGAATAATCCATTAATGCTTCTGCCTGTAACCAATGCTGAAAATTTAGCCCCAGCCCAATTAGCAGGTTAGTCTAGTCAACGATAACAGCGATGCAGAATTAACACAGAAACAACTGGGAAACCCCACCATGGAGAGGTTTTCCATAGGACTGCTGGGAGATACGAGGGTGTCGCCAGAGGAGCAGTCAACGCCAAAAAGAGCGGCGATGTCGCCAGCGTAGACCGCCTCGAGATCCTCGAAGGTGTCCACATTCATGCGCCCGAGACGCGGCACCCGCACCTTCTTGCCCGTGCGAGTGATGCGCACCGACTCGCCGCGTCGTAGACAGCCCTGGTACACTCGCGTGTAAGTCAGCTGGCCGAACTTGCTAGCCTATAGAGGGGGAGAGAAAACACCCAAGCTTAGTCTTGTGGAGTTCAAGCGTCTACTACTCTGGTCCTTTAATGTCTACTACTTCCTAATGAAGGTGGATACGGTGCAGTTGAAGATGACCGATAGAGCAAGGACTGCCTAGTTTTCTTCCTCGTTTTTAAGGTCAACATGACTACTAGTTTTCCTAGCATGAGGTACATCGACAAAGCGTAACCTAGTTGACTCCACTTAATTTTGACACTCAAGTAGTATATAGTTGGAAATAACACCACATCGCTTAGTTTGGAGACTTGTTTAAAGCACTCGAGAACCTACAAATATGATTCCCTATGTCCTCAAGGCGGTACGATAGCTTGAATAGAAGAGCCCAGAGACCAATAAATGGTTGATACACGGGCCTCAGGATCCGCTTTATACAAAAGGCATTGAATTCTCTGCCAGGCCTCCCATATCACAATTAAATAAAGGCTTGGAAATGTTAACTGGATGATGTCGACTGCTTCTGCAAGGGTGAGGTTTCAGAAACTTGCTTCTACATATTCAGTAATGAAGTAGACCAGTGAAGAGTAAATCTAGAGTTGAGGGAAATTCGAACAAACGTCAAATCGGGTTTCCGTCAAGTTCAATCCTAGTCTACAAAATATGACTGACAAACTATTTTTCTCAAATAAAATAACGTAGAAACGTCTGTAAGCTCCAGATGGATAAGTTCTAGCAACTGTTACACGATTTCGACAATTAAGGAATCGACAAAACAATGAGCGAACACTAAGGGAAATCAATCACTCATACGTTCAAGGTTGGTTTCTTGCTACAACAAATGAAAATAGAAGAAATTGAATAAAAATTCCAGCAAACATTGAAAAGCTTGAAAAGCTCTTGTGCCCAAATACACACAACCCTCACATTTGCAAACAAAATACAGTATATACGATTATAAGGGTCTAACTTAAAGAACAACTTTAGCCCAGTTCTGCAAGGTAAAGAGGAAAGTAAATATCAATGATGTGATTCCGTTAAGCCATAACTACTGCTAAACAGATCCTCCTTGGCAATTCACGCGTACGGAAGTCCAAAAGTTTCAACAATATGCTCAAAAATGAGGCAATTTGCACTGCTTGCAAAAATACCAAAACAGACAAAGATTCCGTTTCAGCCCAGAAAAAGATAGTAAAAGTGATCTAATTAACGCATGAATGCAGTATACAGACCTCAAGTTTAAAAGCGAGACCCAAATACGGCGCATCAGATGTTCGAGACCCGTCCAAGAGAACCTTCTCCGTTTGTCTGTAGAGGTAACGGTAATAGGAGCAGTCCCACCTCAAGACAATAAAAAATAGCAAAAAGAAGACCCCACACACCCTTCCTTTTCAAGCAGGGCGTAGTTCTTGACTTCCAAGGGGTTGGGCAGGTAGTCCACCACCGCATCCATGAGGGGCTGCACACCACGATTCCTAAGTGCCGTGCCCACCAGTACCGGCGTGAAGTGGTGGGCCAGGGTAGCTCTCCGTATACCTGCCTTCAACTGCTCTACCGAGAGAGGCTCTTCTGACAGGTAGGCTTCGCCTATCTCTTCATCCGCGTTGGCCAAACACTCTGCAACACAGTGCACCAGTACCGGTAGACAGTTGTTGCTACAACTTCGTGAGTAGGGACGTGGAGAATACCTAGCTAGTCAGACACGTTAGCTACTTGCAGAATTGTTTCACTTTTTATCAATACACTTTGGAATCATTGTTAGTTAAGTCTTAATGCTTCAAGTATTTCAGTTAGTTAGCATTACGAATGGAGTCTGGAGGTGTAAAACATTAGATGTTCAAAGGTAATCACAGAATAAGATATAAATAAAGCTGGGATAGGTTTGGGACTGTTTTAGCGTTATGCGGAACAACCACTAGAGATTCAAATGCTTAAATGAGAGAAAGAAGTAATTTAACACCTAATTTTTTGGAGATTTCACGAATAGAACCTGAAAACTTCTTTTCAAAACCGAATAATTTGGGATTAAGTGGAGAAAAAGCTACACTGATGAATACAAGCTATGCATTATCAATACTGATTGCTACTGGAAGTTAACCAGCTGACATACCAACAAATGCAAGTGGTAAATAAATTGGGAAAGAAGAGGGCGCGCACCAATCATTTCACTGCGACGGTCCCTTGCCTCTGCCATCATATCCTTGGGAATTTCCTCTTCACGGAGAGTCAAGCCTTGTGGCTCGTCAAAATAGATGGCCTTTTCCGTAAGGAGGTCAACTATACCCACGTTCTTTGATTCCAAGCCGATGGGGATGTTCACAAAGGCCGAGTGGTAACGCAGCTTATCGCTAAAATAGACATTTTGTGCATCGAATAAAGAAAAAAACTAAAGAGAAGTAAAGGAAAACTGGCATTACTAAAAGAGTGTTATAAGCTTATTTTCCAAGATGAATACAGAGAAAAGGGAACCCGTTGAAGTGTGCGTTGCACGGCGATCGACCACAAACGGCGGCGATTTCATAAAAAGTGGCCGAGCAGAAAATGAAAGTTAAGTGGAAATTCGATCACCAGAATTACGAGATCCTGCAGTTTATAACTATGTGAGAATGAGTGCTGTTTCATTTTTTATATCGTGGTTTCCAAAGCAATCTCAAACCTTATCGCTGCATTTATATCAATGCTCCGAATCAGTGGGATTGCTCCCAGTAGAGAAATAGTGGCGGCTTGCGCTGAGCGAAAGAAACAAAGAAATTCAAACCCATCAAGTGCACGTGAGTGAGTATCGTTGTTTAAACTTCAGCACGCTTACCACACTCGGTACCAAACAATTTTTAGCTCAGCTCTCCTAGAAACTACCACAATGAGTAGTTCTCTCGATGTAAAGTAGTGCAACGTTTCCTCAGAAAAGGAGATTAAGCAGCCTTCACGTTGCAAGAAACAAAAACAGAGTCATATGACAGAAGGCTCAGGAAGAAGGCAAAGCTCACCGCATTTGTTTGACTACACGATAGGGGTTGGCATCCATACGGTCAACCTTGTTGATAAAGGCCACCTTTGGAACCTGATAGCGTTTCATTTGCCTATCTACCGTAAGTGTCTGACTCTGCACACCACCTACAGCGCAAAGAATGAGCACAGCACCGTCAAGAACACGTAGAGCACGCTCTACTTCCACTGTGAAGTCTACATGACCCGGTGTGTCAATGAGGTTGATAGTGTGACCGCGCCACGAGGTATACGTCGACGCTGATTGGATGGTAATGCCTCGCTGACGCTCCAGCTCCATTGAGTCCATCACCGCGCCAACTCCATCCTTCCCGCGCACCTTTAAGAGGAGGAGAAAATCGGGAGAGTAAACAAGCCATGGAAGTCTTGTCATCGACAGATATCAAGCACTAACCTCATGCATTGAGGAGATCCGATTCGTGTAGAAAAGAATGCGTTCGGAAACTGTTGTTTTGCCACTGTCGATGTGAGCCGAGATGCCGATATTTCGAATCCTGGTGATATCAAAGGGCTAAAGAGATAAGCGTGAGAGGAAAGGAGGAACCATGTACCCCTGAGGAAGAGCCGTTAAAACGCCGGAGGCTTAACTTTACGAACCGACGAGGAAGTCCCATGTTTGGCCATAGTGTAAACCGCATCATGTTGGACCATGCAGGAAAGAAAGACGTAGACAGGAACGTATCTTCTAACAAAATTAAGTACAAAGACCCGAGTTCAAATGATAAAAAAACGAAGTATCAAACAATCCACCGTCGGGTAGGAATAAGGAAAGCCGACGACGGTATTAAGCATATAAAAGAAAGAGGCCAAGGGGCACTATCAGTGAAAAAGAATTAAGGTTATTGAAATGGAATAACGAGTGGAATCTCCACATCGCGACCGTGAATACTTAATTTATGTGCAATTCAGAGCCAAAGCCTATCAGCAATATGTTAAGAAAGTCAAAAATAGACTATCCGAACGAAGTTGACGATGTATTTTACATCCTACCCCCTAAGGGCACAGAACAAATTCCACTCAAGACGCACCACCCACGCCTGACCTAGGCTAAATGCTCACCTGCCGGGTAACCAGGAAAACCGCTTAATCTTTTAGCCTAGATAAATCATTGCATTGCAGGTTTCATTCTAAGCATTAAAGCACAAATAAATATAAATTAAACAAATAATAAAATCTAAGCTCAAAAACAAAATATGTAGGATGACAAAGAGGTAATGGTTGCTTTTGGTAGAATCAATAAAAAATTAATTATGTGTTTTAATCACGATTATCTGTACATTTTAGCAGTAAAACAGTATTAGTCGCACAAAACTGTTTGCCATCACTGAAAAAATATACTGGAAGTATGTGGCAAAATTCGAATTTTGAAGAAGATGTTAATCAAATGCTAACATTATTGACTCTTATGTAGCGTCCCGGGACTCCCTGAAAACGAAAGAAGGCAAAATACTCGAGCAGAATTTGTATTCAGCGCAGAGTATGTGCCTGGGCTATTGGCATGGCCCAAAAGACCAGCCCACCCAGCGAGGTACAAGGGGGCTAATTCAAAGTCCAAAAGTGGAACCTCACTAATGCCAAGGGATAAACCACTATCGTATTACACTTATTATAGCAGTTTTCAGTTCAGCAGCATCTTGTTCTTTACTTATTAGGAAGCTGAACATTTGTGAACACCCCGACTTCGAAGTTGGAAACGGCGGAACGGTGGGATACTCCAAGTCTCACGCCTCTACAGTTTAAATAAGTTTCGGTGTACTTTTTTTGTCTAGTAATCATCTGCAGTACCTCAAGACTCTGAGAAGATGTAACACTCGGGCGGAACAAACATTATCTACACATAGAAGGACTTGGGGCTACTGGGATGGCCCGGAGGCCGGGCAACCATGGGAAGATACTGTGGCGGAGTCTTCAGTTGGCTTGTTACCACAACGGGAGTTAAACAAGCAATTAGAGTACCGCTGCAACACTTTCACTTTTGCAGACAGTACATATCCTGTCCGAGCATTATATTTTCTTTCGCCTTTAATGAAGCTACGGGGCGCTACATTACATATTCGTCTGATGCATATTAGGAAAATAAATAAGATAATTCATTAAATGCTTGAAGAACCTGTTTTAAGAAGCAGGTGTTATATAGCGTCCCGAGATTTCCCTGAAGACGAAAGAAGACATAGTACTCGGGCGGAATATATATATTCACCCCAGAGAGGATATCTGGGCTACTTGCATGGTTCGAGGGCCAGCCCATCCATCGAGGTACAAGAAGGCTGATTCAAAAGTACAAAAGTGGCTCCCCACCAACACCGAGGGATAAACCACCATTGTATTACATTTAGCTCACCCTCCTAAATCCTTAAGCGTTTCTCTTTTAGAGACATTTTCTATATACTTAGTAGCTGTTCCTTTCAAGTTCTGTTTATAATCATAGCCACCTTGCAAATTCATCGTCGAAGTACTTTGTCGCAAGCATTTTTCGAAGATTATGTTTAGGGTACTTATCCGAAAGTAGTTCCTATGTAGTAGTACACGAAACACCTCTTTATATTTTCCTGTCAACCCTAAGGTCATATGGACTCGTCATCCGACTTGTTTGCATGCGTTGCACCATCGCAACAGATGCTTCTAAAATTCCAAAATAAATGGCGTGTCTAGAACCAATAACGCAATTGGAGGGATGTCTCCGTAGTATCGCAAATGAAAGGGGAATTAGACCTAGCGAATATTTTCTAGACTTTGATAAGTTACGCCATGGAGAAATATCTGGTATTACCATAGCATTTACTTATTGGGTTTGTTAAGTGGAGAGATTCTTTCGAATATTAGACAGGAACTTTGGTTTTACTGCTAATGATGACCAGCGTAAAATCATAATCGAAAAATATGGGAACGGCTCCTGTATTAACTGGAGGGAGTTTGTTAAATGTATTGACCCGCAAATAAACGAGAAAAATGTTTCTGTTTTCCCTGAAGATCAGCTGGATAAATTCGATAAGTAATGCTTTGGTTAGCTTTTAATGAGCAGAAATCAGTATATTTGTGCCACAGATAATTCTTTGTCCGAACAGGAAGCATTTAGACCTCTTATATCTCGTATTAATCAGTTTGTTAGAAGTAGAGGAATCGATTTGTATGAGTGTTATAAGGACTTTGATCAACTAAATTCTGGAAGAGTTGGTGAAAGCCAGGTAAGGTGTGGGTTTAATAAGATTTTTAAGTTTTATCGGAGCTTTCCCGGTCCACCCGACATTAATGATGCTGAAATATGCGCTCTTGCGAAGAGGTACTCAGTTCCAAATCATCCTGGAATGGTTAATTATCGACAATTCGCAAGTGACGTTGCTGAAATTAACATTGGGGAAGAAATAGCGAAGCACGGAATCCCCAACAGGGTAGTGGGAAGTTGCTACCTTTTTTTCTCGATTCGAAAATTATTCCTACGTCGTGATTAATTCCTTCAGGAAGAAATTTCTGATGTCCAACAACCTGAAAAAAAGGACCTTCAGACACCATCAGTCCACCAAGTGTTAGAGCGCATCGGTTTTGAAGCTTACAGACGTGGGGTTCGCGTGAAGGATTTTTTCATCGACTTTGATCCTTTGAGGCATGACGAAGTCACGGAAAATCAATTCAAATTGGCTCTAGATAGAGCACTTGGAGGGGAAATTCAGCCAACGGACGCCCAAAAACTTGTCAATTTCTTCCGTTCCAAGAAAAATATGGATATGATTGCATATCGTCAGTTTTGCCGCGAAGTGGACTTTCGTAAGATAATACTTTCTCATTATGAAGAATAACAAATAAAACCACCTACAGTCTCGATATGCTAATATTGCCACAAATCCATTGTATAGTGATAGCCATTTGACTCGTTACACCTCTGTTTAAGATGTAAGTTGCTTTAGGACTGAATTATAGCGAAGCAAGGGTAACCGCAATTTCGCGTGCTTGAGACAGTGTTTATTAAAGTATGACACCATCATCCCCCCAAGGATGTATGGACATGAGGCTGCACTAAATCGCAGAGAGAGTGGTAACTTCTGACTTATTTATAAAAAATTTAAACTCCCGTAGACATTACTGTGAGTGTTGTGTTCTTTATGACTAGATTTTCAGGAAATGGATTTGGAAAAGCGACCTCTTGTGCAGCCACGTAGGCCCTACCCTGGAGCTCTTTCTCGAGTGCGTGTTTCATTTATTGGTCCACTAAAGATAGGAATAATCGCTAATAAAACTATGTCAGGAAAGAAATTAAGCTTGAAAATAAATTCATTCAGCGCTACGTATTTCCATCAAACATATGGCAACCCTTTCTACCATTCAGCCATTACCACTATTGGGCGAAGAGGAACGAATGAAGGTGTCGGGAGTTATTACCAGATTGCGGGAAAAAGTTAGCAGAGAAAGGATTCCTACGTATCAATACTTCCGCGATTATGATGCTGTGAGTGCGTTTTTATACTGAATGGCTCTAATATTATTCTAACCTAATGAAATTAACAAAACGGTAAAATATCACAGAGTACCTCACTGTCCCGGAAGATAACCCCCTCACAATTAGCCCGCCTTCTGCATTTCCTTAAACTGGAAGTCTCTCCGGAGGAATGTCGTTTACTAAGCCTTAAGTTTGCCGACCCAACCGCTAACTACGTGAACTACGCAGCACTCTGCGAAGCTATCGACCCTTTCTACAAGGCAGCAGCTCCAGTACCACAAGCCATCGAGGACCCACCACCTCTTCCACCGAAGCCTAAATTCGGTGAAGCCCCAAAAACTCCCCAGGGTACGGACTGGTCAGCGCTCTCGACGCCGATGACGACTTCAGCTGGAGACAAGGTCCCGGTAGATTTATTGATGACGCGGATCCGTCATATCGTGCTGGTGAATCGCATCCAATTGAATGGGTTCTTTGAGGACTTTGATCCGCTGCATAGCGGACGTGTCAGTAGGTCGCAGTTCGCCCGGGCGCTTTCAGGTGCCGGGGTAACCCGCATTGGTCTGCATGACCTCACACCTGTCCAGTTGGACAAACTGGCCGACGCCTATGTTTGGCCAAACGATGCCTCCAGAGTGGATTGGCGAAAGTTTGTTTATGATGTCAATACAGGTAGGTCACACTACCAGGGTCCTGTTGCATAACGTAATACACTTTGCTCATGACAAGAAAATATATGAAGGTTGTTTGCTTTTCTCCTGTTTGATATAGGAGCCTCTGGAATAATATAAAATTTTATCCATAGGCTCACATAAAGTCCCTAACCAATATTGCATCTCCATAATGGTGCTGAATTTATTAATTTATGCTAGAACAGTCTAAAACACTGCGGCATGTTAGACTGCATTATTCCGAAATCAAGAACAAAGGTGGTTTTGCGGAAAACTTTTGCCTAGTCTGCTGTCAAGAGAGGAGGGGATACATGTCCGGTTATTACTACTTCCATAGAAAATTATTTTCACCTCTTAACCTGTATATACTTAAAACAAAAAATATAAGATTTCCTTAACAGAACTGAGGAAATCACATTTTTCCAATCAGGGTTAATTTGTTTCATTTTAAGTCAGATGAATAAATAAATAAATGAAGCACTAGAATTACATTTATCCAGACGATAGCTAATAACTAAAGTAAATTAGTGCCTCATAAAGACCCGGAGGAGGAGGAGAAGGAAGAGACTGGCATGAAGGGAGTCTTAAATTGAAGCTAGCTGTACTACCTACTAAATTCTTCTGTAAAAGCATTTACATACCAAAATAATGTGTATGTCCGGTAGGTACTAAAAATGCACAAGAAGATGACATTTTAAAGTTCACTTATAGTCTGCAAGAGGTGAACACTTTCCACTGAACGAATTTCAATGGTTTTGCAGTCTTTACACTGCCCGAAATCGAGCAGAATCCACGATGCCGTGTTTTGCCGTTGTCGGTGCATGTGGTTCCTAAACCGGGGACGGGGAATTGGGACTCGGCGACGGACGAAATGAAGGACCGCTATGAATGCGCTATGCAGAATCTGCGTCGAAGCCTCCTCGAACGTCGTGTAGATATGAAACCGGAGTTTAAGGCCTTTGCCAAGTAAAATTTAATATTAGTCTTTTTCATTTACTTTTCGAATATGCATTGATAAGCTACTTAAAGTTTTTCATAATTCTTTTGCGAGATGTGGAATATCATTTGTCTTGATTACGTGGATACCGAAAAGATTCTCGACGGTAGCTACTTTCTTAATGTTTTCAGAGTTAACAGAGGCCATGTGAGTCTGTACAACCTCAAGCAAATCATTTCAAGCCTCAAATTTCACATTCCCGATGATCAACTCGACGCAGTCGCCGCAAAATATGCCGATGATGAAGGATTTAACTATTGGAGATTCTTAACAGACCTAGAACCGCCCTCTAAGGAGTCGCTGCACTATGAGTATCCACATCGAATCGCTCGGATGCGTGAGGCATTCAACAAAACCGGGAAGCCAGTGGAAGCTGAACCGGTCATTAGTGATGTGGAGGGAATCATGGACTACATCAAGCGTGAGGTAGGCCTTACAGGCAGTGTCGTCCTTAATAATCAGGGGATTTGTTTAAAGTAGGAATGTCAAATCTACCCCAAACTTAAAATCATAGCTAGGGCAAGAGTATTGTAACGGTGTTTGGAGACATTTTTTCCAGTGATTTGCTTCAACTTGGTTGAATAAAGTTGTTCTGACCTCCTAATGCTCGACCCTGATAGGAAATTAATTTCGGGTTGTGGCCCTCAGGAATGTCAGGGACATGCAGCTGTGAAACCGGATTTGGTCACTCATAGAAGATTAAATTTGCTGAAAACTTTGGCTGAAACAAAAGTGGAATTTCATAAAATAACAATTAATGTTTAAATCGGATAAAAATAGTGGAACTACTTGATTGTAATGCTTTCTAAACAGCTACTCTCGCAGAGGGCACAGCAAAACCTCATACATTCACTTTCATTGTAACCGTCCCTATTTATGGAACCTCCAATTGATTAGGCCGCTTTTCAAGCCAAGTTTCTTAAATCTGGTTGAGATTTTTTATCAAGCTGTTTCGTATTTTTTTTCTCCCCCGTCTGGAGTGACCTTCATCAATAATTAGCAGCATCGCGTAGGCACGGTGTTGGGCGTTAACCCGTCCCCTCAGGTACATTCGTTCCAGTTCAGCGTAGCAATCTCTTACTACCAACTGATCTGCCAAAAAAATTTGATTCCTAGCCCAAAGACTTCTTTGTATGTGAAATGGCAAGCTTTTGGTTAATCTAGCGTGTAAACACGCAACTATCTCATTATGTTACATTCTTTGTGATGAAAGGCATGACTAGCCCTAGATGGATTTCACAGGCACGATTTTTAGGCATATTTTAAGAAACAAGACTAAAAAACGGCAACAAATATAATTTTATATTTGATTTACTATATTTTGCCCCACCTTCTGCGGCTAACACGAGAATAAATTTATTCAACTTGCCTTTTGGTTTAATGCCAAAAAAATCACGAGAAAATGTGGGTAAAATATTACTGGTGTGTATTGGTGTTGAAGAAGTGGGCAATTTTTTTATAGGGATTGATGCTTGAGTTGTAGGTCTACCAGCAGCGCATTCGTCTGTCCGAGTGGTTCCGCGATTATGATCCTCTGAGGCGTGGGCACATCTCGCGACAGCGATTTCGCAGAGCCTTATCCCTCCTCCCGATTCCGCTCAAAGAGACAGAACTAAGCTGCATTGAAAGCTAGTAAGCTTTCCCTGTTCACTTGAGTTCCACTATAATTATGTGTAAAAGGAGATATCAAATAATCACCAAGTCTTCTCTGTATTTGACAGGCGATTATCGCTGTATTTTACTTTTACCATGCAAGGATTAAAGTAGATATAAAAGATTCATGGTATCATTTGGATTTTGCGTCGCAGTCATTAACTAAGTAAATCGTTCTGCAACGTCTGTCAGCACTAGCTTTCACGTAGGTAGAGCTTCGTCATTGTATAATCAAAATAGGCATTTTACTTTGATCATGCACTAGCTTATTGCAATAATTCTAATCCGAAATACCTAGCTAGACATTATTTTATCTCCATTTTCCACAGACCATTCGTTAAGCTACTTCTTTTAAGGAAAAAATTACTGGCAGACTTTTTTGGTTAATCGCCCTACTTAAAAGATTTTAAAGTAGTATTTTCAAGTGAATTAATGTAGGCAGTGTTATAACCGCAACGTAGCTGATGCCTCTTGGCAAGTCTATTGGATCTGAAGATTCGTCCTCTATGAAACTGGGTTCAGGGAAGAGGAATTTGCTGCTCATTACGCATGTCCATAGCTAGTCGTTGAAACACTGGCTTAAAAGCAGTCGAATAACAAAGGGCGAGATTTAAAATAGTTCCATAGAGGGAAAACATCGCGTTTATTTATCCTTACCACTTTTTCTCACTAGTGCTGCCCAGTCACATTTATCTATCTGGGTTTTACCCAGCCAGTAGGGAGGTGGAGGCGATATAGCGTATTCACCTAGTTGACACCTTCACACAGGTACCCTAGACAGCTCCGCAGCGAAAATTTCAGGCTGTTCACGGCCACAATTAGCGTTGTTTCGCATAATAGCGTTCCTGTAGAATATGGGTCTGAGGTGGTCGTCCAGGGTAGGCTTTATTTTCAGCTCTTCCGTCGAGGGTTGTCACTGATTCTCCCACTCGCAGTATCTACACTTATTTCACCCCGTTAAGTTTTATCATTCAGCAGTAGAAGTAGGGCTGGTTGTTTTTCAAGGAATGGGGCATAATACTTGGGCAGATTATACATATTCGACATCAGTGGGGCTTGGGGCTACTGACGTGGCCCCGGGGCCAGACTACCCGACGAAGGTGCAATGGCGGAGCGCCTAAGTGGTCCCTTTTACCACACCCGAGAGATAAGCAGACAACCAACGCATTCCATAACAAATACATGGAGCAAATCCAGTGTCTCCTATTAACAAACTACAATAAAATTTCATTGAACTTTGCCTGTAGCTCTTAATGTTCTCCCCTTCACATTGGTAGAAGCATTTGTTACAACACAAACCCTTGTATAGGAATGAGCCCTTTACTGGTTTCCTGTGTAGGGCTTGGCCATTCCTTCCCAAAAGTTCACTTAAACAGTAAATGGATTACGTAACAAACCCACATTCCCAGTCAAAGAAATGAAAGCTGGCATGACAATGACTTGTTGATAGGTGAATCTGCTCACCATAATGCCCTATTTGAGGAATCATTCATTGTAACGTAATCCATTGGAGTAGGGAAATTAGGATTTCTCGTTAAAGCCAACTCGTGCACAGATTACATAGAGTTGGTCAAACCTTTTTATTTAGTTTTAAAACAAATGATGCAAATGAAATACGGTGGAAGGACTTTTGTGAGGAAATAGAGCGAATATTTGCTACACCTTATCTTGAAAAAGACCCCTTGAAAGAAGCCGAAGTCTACACGTTGGAGCCTGAGGTCTCAAGAAATTGTCTGCCCATTGAAATGAGCGAGGCTGCTGATCAAGCGATGCGGAAAATCAGCAAGATGGTAAGCAGCATGATTGAGTTCTTTTATGTAAAGTAGGTTCAATTATTACTCATTCACCTCTTCATTTATTCATAAGAAACCTGGGGAGTAGCTTTGAACTCCTTGAGTGCAGAATGAGGTGAAAAGTTTCTCTTTGAAATAATTTGTCAACTTCACTCTGAATTCTATGGCCATTCAACCAGGTGCCAATCAAATTTGAAATGTGGTAACATGTCATTTGCTTTTTAATGGCGATGTAAGGGATAGGGAAAAGAGGACGCTCTATTCAACTCACATTTGGTAATGAGGAGTTGTTTAACAGTGAGTTCGTGGGGTAAAATAGAGGCAGGTGTGGTTTATTCCTTCACGCCTGTGGTGATGAATGAGCACCGCAGAATTTTTTGGTGCTTCAAGATACAAGCCAACCCTCTATATAATGCTTCGAGCTCCTGGATAACTGTCCTGCGCAGCTGTTTTTACTGTGGAGTCAGTTTATCAACTTCTGCGACATTGATCAAACTTCAATGCATTGCTAAATCGACGATTGTCTCTCGAGGCGTCAAGCCTTCCCGAAAGCTTAATCACTTAATTAAGCTTAATTCTTAAGTCATGCCTTTGATATGCTCGAAAAGACGATATTCTAGTGTATTTACCCACTTTACTACCCTGACATTAATACGAGACAATTTAACTTTTACCCGAACATTTGAAGTCATGTCTAGACAGCCCTTTAGTCGGCTAAAGATAATAACTTTTTATTAAATGGAAAAGAATTCACTGTGTTTTTTCAAAACCACAAAGGTTCGTACTAAAAGAACCCAACTGACCCAGTGGTTCAGTGACTTCGACAAGACCCATCGAATGACCCTGAGTGAGAGTCAATTCCAAAGGGTTTTGACCAACCTCGGTGTTGCCACTGGCATCTCCAAGGAGGAGTGGAACGCTCTCAGTGCACGCTATCGACATCCAATCGGTCGCATCGACGATATTAACTATCTTGCTTTTTCTGATGACATTTATAAACTTGCAGGAATGGAGCACCGGACACCCTAGGGATGCAACGACTCGACGAGTCTCTAATGCTAGGCACACTTGAATGGACTTCAAGAGACCTCAAACATGGTTCGCTTTCGCCTTTTGTGGAATTCGGTTTAGGTGGGGGGGATGGTGACATTCACAGGATTTGATCAGGCGAATAAATGAATGAACGAATGCTTATAGCATCATAAAATTATGAAACAGAAAGGAGAATGCTTTTAGTCGGAGGCTGTAAGGCCTCTGCTAGGGCTAGAGGCAACAGTTTCCAACAAGAGGAGAAGGAAGTCTTAGCTTCCATAGTTCATAAGTTTAATGGTTTTAGGCTTGACACAAGGATCACAGTAGCAGCTGATCCACTTCTTGCTCATTTGCTTAGAGAGAAACAAAGACATAAGGGTGGAGAAAACGATAAGCTCTCTGTTTTTCCAGCTAAAACTTCCTCTGACCCATTTTCCCCCCTAAAATCACGGTAAACTTAGCGTAATTGTGATGACATGGAATAGATATTTGCGTGCCAGAAAAATTACGTTAGCCAATCAGAAAGGACATTAAAGAATACACAGAATCTAAGCTATCCAAGAGAGCGACTTTTGCCACCCTGGTAAAGAGAAGCAGAGGCAAAGTCCTGACTTAGAGTGCTCATAAAACCAGATAAAGTGGCTCATAAATAAAGATTTTAAGTACGATAGCGGGGTTTTTTGAAAACCAAACAGCCGAAGGTAGGATTTTTGAAGAGCAACTTACCATTGTAATCACTTATTACTTGCTTGTAAAACCCTCCTTAATGCCTTCATGTGTTCGAGCCAAGGAACATAAGCGACAGTTAAACTGTAGCAAGTGCCATTACTGTGAATGATGGTGACAGACGCTTCGTAGTGGTGGGCGAAGTAAGGGCGCTTGACCTCCCACACACCTCATCTATCCCATGGAATGAATTATGGCGGAAATTTTGATGGATTGATAGCATCCAAAGGACATGAGGGCTGCCTTTCCAATCATCCACGTTTATAACTCAAAGAGGTGCTTACCGAAATTCACGTTTAACATGTTAATTGAAATTCTGGTACATAAATACCATCCGAAGTCTGTTGAGTTGGTTTCACAGCATCAGAGCACTGTCTCGACTAGCGTTTGACATCTATTGTCGGGAAAGTCAATTTGAGCGGACTTTACTCAGGATCAGTCTCTGAAAAGGAAATGCAACAGGTGGCGCATGGAGTACATAAACAACGTATTCCAACTCACCACTCATTCATTTTGGGGAGGAAAGAATTATCCATTAAATAAGGTATCGCATATATATGTCCCCATATAGTCGTGGGATTACGCTCTGATATTCATTATCATTACCATGATTACCTTTTACATATTTAATGAGCTGTACCATAACAGCAACCATTAGCTAGTAATGCGAATGCGCTTCGGTTGGAATAAAACATTCAGACGCAGCGGCAACGCGGCGACATGAGTTGTGACATCGAGGTAGGCATTACCAGATGTTTGACATTTCCAGATACACTAACCAGAGTGGGTGGATTTCGCTAGGCTAAATACCGCTTAAAATTGGGAACAAAAGAAACTTTTGTTGTTGAAGCAGTTTTAGTGATTAAGTACTGCTCTGTGCAACAAAGAGACACTTTTTTTAAATTTGGTATTTTGTTTAACTCTTAACCCCGACATTTTAAGGCTCAGCCTATGCCGGTAGCCCCCCAGCCCTTCTATACTTCGGTAATGCATATTCTGCCCTGGTAGTATGAAGACTTTCTTCCCAGGAAACTCTTGGAAAGTGACGCCAAGCCTAAAAAAACATCTACTTTGCTTTCGATTCCTGTATGCTAAACGTTTACGTGACAGCAGAGGGGTATAGGCTGTAGATGGGGGGATAGCTGACTAGCCCCAAAAGAAAGCTTAAAAACGACGTCTACCCTCGACAATCACCCCAGCCCCGCGTTCCGCAGGAACTCTATTAACAATCAAAGCGACACAAACTGTGAACCATCCGGAGTATTTCATTATAGAGCTGACTCCGGTACCTGTAAGAAGATGTCAATGAAGTAATCACAAGATACCTCCTTAACTGCCCCACTAGCTGGAAAGAACTTAAAAGATACATGGTTGGACAGCACTGGAGTGCGAACACCAAGTTATTTAAAAACGCCGTCTTTTATCAAGTGACCGTGCATTCAGATCGGTGGAGGTGGACATACGTGATGGCCTGCACAGTCTATTTTTCTTGACACAGTTCCCAAACAAGTTACAACTCCAGATCCAGTATAATTGCCATATATCTTCCTAATTATACGCAAAGTCGATGACTGTCGTGGTTGGTTCGTGAGCAGTTTTCGCGCTGCAGTGATTATGTTGTAATGGCCGACACTGGAGGCTAACCAAGGGAAACGTCGGGGACTGCACAATACTCTGTTTTTTTTTCAGCTCTTCATTTTGCCAATGCGGACGCTGAAGGGTTTGGCCCCTGTACATTCGCTTGGCGGCATGGCCTTCGGGCCATGCTGGTAGTACCTCAGCCTTTCTCTGCGTCGGCGATGAATATTCCACCCTGGTATTTTGACTTTTTTCGTCCTCAGGAAGGACTTGGGCGCTTTACTCTCACTCAACATAATTTAATAAAATACTTATCTTAAAATACAGTTTGCAAACTCACTACAGATGCACATTTATGGTCCTGGTAATAAATTGGACATTTGAAACGGTAAGACTGGGTGAAATAAAAAGCAAAGACAATCACAAACGCAAATTTTAGAATTGTCGTGTGATTGAGTTAAATACCCATCATCCCGTCAGACACATTCACACGGCACGATCAAGGTGATAATGTGTCAGTCTAGACATCTAAAAGTGTTCCTCATGTCAAGTGGGTTTATGAAATAGATAAAGTGATGGGAAAGGATCCTTTTTTTGGAGACACTGTAAGTTGCTTTGAAAAGACTTAAGAGAATGCCATTTTCCCTCAGACACTGTGATTTTTCAGCACCATCACAAACTATTCACCAACGCTCATTATATTAAGTTAACGGAGGCATAAGTATTATGCTGAAACCCATTGTGATAAGCAATTTGCAAAAACTTTGACTTTTTATGTCTTGCTTATTTTCAATGAAGACGCAAAGGGTAGCATTCAGAGATATTGACATATGAATTGGCCGATTTCTTCTCTTTGAAACAAGTTATATTAGCGAGTTGATAGGGATGACACAGCAATTTTCATAAATCTAAGGCTTCATTTCTAATTTTACTTAGTCCGTTTTTACCACTGACCTCTCCACGCCAATTGCTCTTATAAATTTTTCAGCAGTAGTAAGAAGTGCGTAACTAATTATGCTCTTTGATCTGCGGTGGATGGAAGAGCATAAACTCTGGATTAATTATCTTAACGGTAAGGCGGTCTTGGCGCTGACGGTGTAACCGCCTAAAGTACAAAACATAAGCCACCCAATGCATTAATAAAGGAAATATATGCTTCAGTCATTACAGCGTCGCGTGATACCTGCTCCGGTAAAATCAGCCCTTCCTAAAAGTAAACGTGCCTACAAGGGACCATCTTGTCTAGCAGAATCCACTCAACTATACCGCTTTGAGGGTTCTTTGAAGGTGATGTAGGAAAAAAACCCACGCACCAAACCCATTATTCATTGACTTTGTGTACAATCGTGAAGATACCTCACTGAAACGTCACTGATCCTTCTTGAAAATTCGACTAGGTCTAAAGCTTCGTCTGGCTAGGCAACTGTTTTGGGGAGTGAGGGAATGTGCAAGCCATCACGTGTATCTACCGCTAGTCGTAAGGACACTGGCCTAAAGCAGAGTCATTTAGTAAGGACCGGAGTTTAAAATCGTTTTGTCGGGATTGTGTTTCTAGTCCACTTATCCTTGTCACTTTGTTTCCTTTTCAGTGCTGTCCAGACATGTCTATCTGGGTCCCGTCAAGTTAGTGGGGGGGCGGGTGGAGGTGGCATGGCGAGTTCACTTGCTCGACATCAATACTACAGCTGCCGTCGACGTCTCTGTAACTAACTTTCCCAGAGGACTTTATTACTAGTACCGTTTTAGCTGATAAGTGGATTTCTGCGGAATAGAGGACTGGGGTAGTTGGCGAGGTTAGACGGCATTATCAGTCATTCTGCAGGGAATCGTCAAAAATTATCCCATCCCCAGTACATACTCTTCTTCCGTAACATCAAGGTTTATCATTCAGTAGTAGGAATTAGGGTATTTGCCCCCTAGGATTGGATTCGTCTTTCACCGACATCAAAGTAGCGCACTGAGACTTCCCTGAAGACGAAAAAAATTCACAATGCTGGGGCAGAATATGCATTGCCAACGCAGAGAAGAGCTGGACTGCTGACCATGCCGTCCAGGGGAAATACAGAAGCTGCACCTTAACGAAAAACTGAAAAATAATTAATTGTATTGCCCCCTCTCCTTTGCAAACTTTAGTACATGAAAGTATGAACCACATTTTGCAGGCTATTTCAGTCTGTTCACAGGGAGCGCAACTTTCAAATCCCTTACATCCTACCTTCCAAGATCACATAATTTCTGAAGTAGAAGAACTGAAGTTAATAAGATTTGAAGTCTTTGGGTAGATAGGTTTGCTGAGCTTACCTCTTAAACTGATTAGAGTCGTTTACCTCTTTAAGAGTCCGACTGAAAACATCTTGCCGAGGTGCATAACACACCAGTTCCGCCACCCCCTAGTATGCCCCACATTTCATGGTTGTCGTGACGAAGCAGTTTCTACTCCTACCTAAATTTGCTTCCTAAAGTTACATCACTGCAAAATAAAAGTAGAGTCTGAAAAGTCATTTTATTTACTGCCTTCTGAAATCGCGGCTTTCTATCTTTCTTTCCAAAAGACAGGTTGGACAGGAAATGCCTCATTCACCAGCCAAAACAACTAGCGTATTGTTACTTAGCCTCTAATGCATCGTCTTTGTTAATCATTGTCAGATAAATGAGAAGACAACTGAATGCTAGATTGTAGCGAGTACCTTCTCTGGGATTGATGCAAATTGCCATGCTTCTACTGTTAAGTAGACTGATTTAGCCTTAGATGTTTGATCAATAGATGAACCTTGACCCATACATACGTCACAAGGTGACCTAACTAGGCGTCCGAATCACGAAGGCGCCTCTAGTTACGATAATCACTTGGGTTTATGGTATGCAAACTTTGAAAACTGTAAGGGAAATGGGAGTGACACTTGGAAAGCTCCAGTGTTTGCCACGAGAAATTAAGGAGAATTAGGGAGAAGAGGCATGTATTTCCGATTAAATCATACGGAAACGAAGTATCAAGGCGTTAGAGAGATCAGCCGTCTTTTGTTGCAGTTGTTGTGGTTGTCACCTGATCTTCTATCTGCTGTTTGAGTGAGGCGTTTTCAAGACGCAGGAGAGTCAGTTCTTTCCTCAAAAGAGAAGAAACTCCGACAAGTAAATAGTCTGTCAGTCTACATAAGAGTAGTATGAGGATAAAATGGACTACATGGCAACACCAAATCCTACACAATCTGTATTTGCCCTATCAGGGAAATGACTAAAACATTACTAATTCAACAAGTGGTAACTGTTGGATAATGGATTGGTTGTCCTGACTCTCTGATTAAAACTCTAATTTTGTTGTCATAGAGCCATCTGTTGCTACTTTTTTAAAACCACTGCATTTGTAACCGATATCCGCCTGTCATCTCCTCGTTGCCGTGAGAGAAGGAAAACAAACCCCTTTGCAAAGTTTTTTACCTCCCCACTGTTTTTTCTACACAGCTCAGGCTAGTTAATGGCATCATGTCGGGGCTGTTTCTGAATCTGCACAGGAGGATGTGAAGCGATGCTTTTCTTTTTTTTTACTTTCAAATGTCAGCTCACCTCATTTGATGCATGTGAATATGAGTGAGCACATCGACAATGTCAAAGTGGTCTCCCTTGAGGCGGTACTCGGCATGCCATTCAAGCAGAACGTCAACTTGTCTCTCCAGTTTGTTTGTCTAGGAGATATAGCAAGCATCACTGTTAGAATAGATTGGCCCACACATGGACTATATATCTACTTGTCTGTAACTTCCAAAATTGCTCAACATAGTCAGTTATTACCACCCTAGTAATAACTCTTTGTTTTGGTTTCGTGACACTTAAGTCCCCGCCTTTGTACCTCCGCTGTGCAGCACGGCCTCCAGACCAAGGCGGTAGATTACCCACCTTTCTTTAAGTCAGCATTACACATTTTGACCAGAGGGCTGCGCCTTCTTTCGTCTTCAGGAAAGACTTAGGGCGATTTATTGGTAGCCGTGGAACGCAAAACCGATCCTAAAGGACAGCCTTCTTGGTTTCTCTTGCTTGATGGTAAAGTTTACCATGACGGAAGATGGCCCTCTGCTGCAGATGGACGAATCTATGAAGACCCGCAACAGAAGGGTTTAAAATTACGTCTACCTTTGGCGACTACCCCAGTCCCGTTCCACAGGAATGTTATGAATGAGTGAAGCGACACTAGCCGTGAACCATCTGGGAGGTTCGTTTCGAAGCCGCCCGTATTGCCTGCATAAAGATGTCAATTACGTGAACATGAGCTACCTCCTCCACCCTGCTACTTGATGAACAGAACCTAGATAGAACAGAAGTGAAACCTAAACCTGTCTAGAACCCCTTCCTTCGTTAAATGGCTCTGCTTTTAGGCCAGTGTTCTTACGACTAGCAATGGATATACGTAATGATCTGCCCACTCCTCTTTCACCTTATATGGTTCCCAAACAGGGCGGAGCTCATAACCCATTGGAATTACCGTAAGAGATCAGTAAAGTTAGGGCAGGATATCTTTACAGTTACGCGCAAATTCGATTACCAACGCGGTCAGCCAGTCGTATTTTTCTATGCACCACCGACTACATTGTGGTGGCCGAAGCGGGAGGTTGATCAAGGGGACGCCGAGGCCGATGCTTAAAAGGCGAGGAGACAGTGTAAAACTTTATTTATTTGTTCAGCTCTTCGCTTTAGTTTCGTGAGCAATTAAATTTCCACCCCTGTACTTCCGTTCGGTGGCATGGCATATGGGCCAGACCAGTAGACTCCCAACCCTTCTGTGCGTCGGAAACATATATTCGTCCCAAGCACTATGCCTTCTTTCTCCCGTAGGAGAGCCTCAAGGCGCTACACAATCGCTTGATTTCTCGTCGACGCATTTACATCGTTAAAGTAAAACAGTCGTGGTTAGATCAGGGGATATGAGGGAAGGAGCATGTCAGTGTACGTGGATTACGCCTCTAAGAGAAATTTATGGCCAGATCAGAACCACATAATTTCTTAAAATCTCTTTAAATTAATTCCCATCGAATAAGAATGCTCCCCAATTTTATGGGGTGCAGTAAATAAGATTTAGAGGGGATGTCTCAATTACTTTAATAGCTTACCAGAATAAATTAAAAATCAAAACATCCCATCCACTGGAGCACAAATGTAAACTGTGTAGTTAGGGCAAGTCACCTTTTTAAAGGCACTCACTTGACACGAATAAACATGTCAGAAGCAGAAAGACCTGGACAGCATATATTTCCAGGCGCACGGAAGGAGCTCATGTGACTTTTTTCCCAGGACGTCTAAGTTTATGTCTTTTGAATACTTCAAACTTGTAAAATACACTTATTTTTAAACAGTTAGGAAATGAAGTTTTTATTTACATGTAGAGAAACTCAACATATCCACTTACAGGGCTAATTTTTGAACAAGGAGTGATATCAATCCAGTCACCATGACTGTTAAAGATGACAAACGTGGCAGAATTGAGCTTACATTAAGTGCGCACCTCAGTTAAAACAGCAATTGAGGACTGTTTAAAGTATTCACAGAAAAAATCTCCCGAAGTGTGAGGCGAATGTCTTGTTCATTATCAATATCCCCTGTCCAACTGCGCTTCACGATGTGTTTTCACCTGAAAGCTACCTCAGCGTAGACCTGATCACTGAAACCGCTAATCCTTGACAAATTTGACCTGATATGGATATTTCTACTAAAATCTACAGCAAGGAAAAGCAAAACTTAAGTGATGGCTCCATTTGGAAGGACTAGATTCTCCTAATGATTACAAAAAATTGCGATATCCATGCAACTGTATTTCATGTCCATCATGCGGTCTTAACTCGGGGAGGCATAGAAAGGCGATTCCCTTGAAAATGCGACACCACTAACCAACTAATACAGCTAATGCAATTTTAATGCAATTTGATGGAAGTGAGCACTTAAAACGCTCGCATCAACTGCAACAACAACATCTAATCTCCATGTTGATGGGAATGAATATCTAAGTGTAATGCATAGTTCTCCCCTACTCTTTGGTTTGCTGCCATCGGTTCACCAGTCTAATTCAGACATTAACCCATCAACTCCATCAACCGCCGGAATAATATGGCCAAAACACTTACACATTTGGGAAAATCCACTGGCGAGAAATTTCCTTTAACTGTCGTGTAAGTGGTGGACATTAGTCAAGTCAGTGCAGGCCATTAACAAGGAATGGGAATGGGGTCACAAGAGTACATGCTTACTTACTAAGTCTTATTTTAAGCTGTACTAAGTTTTTAAAATACAAGATTGAGGAATAGATTCAAAATGTTAACTTCTTGAACACTGAAAGTTCATCAAATCGTTCGTATTGTCTGCGTCTCTCCTGAGTGTCGGGATTCCCACTTCAACAGGTGTTACGCCGGTCCCCCTTGGCTGTAGCTGACATGAAGGTGTCGTCGAGAAACGTGTAAACACAAATCACAGACAATATCACCATTTATCTAGCGTTATGATTAAATATGTTGCATATGAATACCGTAATATAAAAAAGACCATTGAGACAGGTGAGACTGCGCCTCATCATCGGCCCACTGCACAAATACCAACGATCTGATTGTAGGTACATTTACAATCTTCAGGTAACCAACAGCCCTCAAGACAATGTTCTGCAGTAAATTATTTTAGTGGTAGAAGATGTGATGATGGCAATGTTTACATAAAAAAACACAGCAATTATGTCTGTCAAAAAGTGTGAAGTTGGAGGTGGGATTTAAGAAGTGCAGATTGAATCTGGACCACTGCCTTTCTAAAATTAATTCCACCCTTTACCAAGACAAATAAACTGCTGCAGTAGAAATATTGCTGCTTTCTTGAGAGATCTCAAAGCGAAAAAAACCGTTTGATCAGACGTCGCTTAAGCTGTGGAAACTTCCCATCAGGTTACGTGCATTACATTCAGAGGAGGAGCAGTAGCAGAACATATCACCCAGGAATGGATTTCAACATGTAATTTTGGGTGGTAAATCACTCAAGGCTGCAACAGTAAGAGCCTCCAAAATGAAGATTTGCTGCTGTATGGCAAGTCATCAAAGATAAGCTTGTCAACAGCTTTCATTGAAGTTCAGTGCTAAAGAGGATGCTGTCTGGCCACAACCAGGAAAGTGATGAATACTAAGAGGTTGCCAACAGGCTTCAAAGGGCATCAGTTTACTTCTCCTGCACCGTGAAAAGTCTCCTCTTTTTAATAACTAACATCAGGCAATCGGATAACTTTATCTTAAAAAAGGCGCTTGAGTTGTTTACTCGGAGCTCCCCGTTAATCCTAAAACTCACATTTATAATAAATCCTGTAAGGTAAGGTTGATTTTGTGAATCCTATCAAATAGAAAAACGATTTTGATGAAAGGATAGAATGAAAAAATCGGCATGAATAAAAAAAAGAAAGAGGAGGGTGATTGTGCGAGACTGTAAAAGCATCTACGGCTTGGAATTTTCCCTAATAGCGGCCTATTTGGACCACTGATTGCCTCTTTGACTAAATGCTCCCAAGAAAATGTTACTATGTTGACGTTAATGTTCGAAAAAGTAATTTACAAGACCATGTTGTGCTCTGTGTGTAGAATTGCAACTACTAGGTAAATGGCCAACTCAGCGGGTTCCAAAGGACAGTGTTCTTTGTAGAAAGAAATATAGTGACATTTGGGCATATTCAGGGTTTGTAAAACCCTGGATGCTAGTTTTAGAGTAACCAACTCAACTGCATTTACTAGAGATGGTGGCTACCAAGTGTCTTCACTTCACTTCTTTAAAGGACGGAAAAATTAATATGCCAGGGCTTTAATTTATTTTGATTTCCTCCAAAATGAGTCCTTCAGTGTTAAAGGTACTTATTTGAAGAGCCTACTAAAAATGTACAAAATCAACTTTTCGTCACCGCTTGTGCAAACATATTCTTGACATGCAGAGATACTCTTTGGTACAGATTTCATGTGAGGCTGCTAGTTCGGAGTAATTCGTGGGTGTCGTCAAGACCTCTTCATGATCCTCATGTCAGCACCCAAACAAATTAGCATTTTAGGTACCTTCATTTCCCAGCACTTTCTAAAATCCATAGGGACTCGCACCACCCTAGCAATTTGAATAATGTGTTTCAAAGCATATTTAACATGCTTGCTATCAGCGTCACATATGTGTGACGCACAGGGTTTCCAACCCTAGCCGATAATCATGATCAGTCGGTGATGAATGGTTGCAATAAATCGTGTTGCAGGCAGGTAAGCTGGGTTCAAACCAAATTAACAATTGTGGAATGCACTTGGTCTGGGGTTGATATCATTGTTTACTTCCTAGTAGAAACTGGATTGATCAAGAAACCAGTTACAGCTAGTGACAAATTAGAATACTAACCCTTCTGAAATGTTGTGGTCGATCCGGTAACGCGCATAGTAGTCTCAAGGAAAATTGAGTTAGTTGTGATGATTTTGCTTCTGATGAAGGAGCTGCTACTAAAATCCACCCCGTTTTAGTGGGCAACTTGGGCATGCAGGGTCGATCAGGGTGTAGTGAAAATCTGCATTTACCCACCGCTGAGCAATAGATTTACGGCAGAAGTAATTTAACAGTTAACGCCGCAAATCAGAATACAGATAATCCAAGATTGTAGCACAGTTGAAGTTGCCCTATAAGCAGTAAAGGCATGTTGATCCTGACAAATACGTGCGGAGAACTAAAGGATCTGGGCTACTAGGATGTTGATTTTAAATTTTTAGGTCACACCGGTAGTTGCACCTTTTTGCATTTTACGCTACTACAGTGAATCAGGGGAAATTGTCCCCAAATCGAGATCTTTAGTTCGTGGAATTCAACGACTAGTCACGTGCAAAGTTAGACCAAAAGAACTAATTCCGACTAGCAGGGTTTGGATTTATTTTTCCCACTGCCTTCACACCACGTATTCCATTGAATCGTCGATGGCCGTTTTATTTACCACTATTTAAGGGGCAGCTGGATATTCCTGGGAATTTTACTAAAAATCCAGGCTGCATAGATTAATATAGGACATTCCCCGTACAAACTTCCTGTTGATATAAAGGCCTGATGATTTTGTAGTAATTTAATGACAAATTTACCAGGTGAAAAAAAAGGTTAAAGTGAGTAGATGCATTGTGAGAGTGCACTTTTTCAAATGTGGTCCACGGGAGACACACCCATCGGACTGCACTTTAGGGCAAAAAAAATTATTTAAACTGTTAATGAGGTAGTTGTAGGCCTCCTCGTAAAGCCTTCGCACAACGGATTTTCAAATCAAGGACCACCTTTGGTAGACCCGCCTTTTACATCAACTGCCCAAGGGCAAGTGCCTTGGTTCAGTAAAAAAAAATTCAAAGGCACATAAATTTGAGCCTATATGCTCAAAATTTTTCTTTAATCCGGAAAAAAATACTAACCGAAGAAATGTTAAGGGTGGAAATACTAGGACTGTGCCCTATTTTTTTAGGTCGATGGGTGGCTCAAGTAAGACTTAGACCCCACCATAAAGAGTACTGTATGAATAAAACGAGAGGAAAAGTGGTATACTCTTCTTCACCTCAGAAACTTGAATGTCTAATTCCAAACACGAAAACTAGAAAATGAAGTACGGGAATTGCTACAGCTTATCAACGTCGATTTTCATTACTTGTGGCCAATGGCAGTTAGGTCGCTCCGCTCCCTCGACCCCAGGAGAGGTGTAAATCACTGACAGTAACTGTATCAGTATCTGCAGTTCTGTACCGTTTTGTTCCCTTGTTTTCACTCCTTTAAGCTTTTGCTACTGTTGTCCAAATCCCATTCCCTCTATTCTACAGCGTTGTGCAACGTCGCCAAGAATTCCATTTTGGAGTTACTTCATGGCACACTTTCCTTCGAAATCGCTGTTGCTCCTACTCACCAGGCTGATGACGACAGAGGGAACAAATATGGTTCTCCATTTCACTTTTTTGCCACCCACCTATCGTGGACCCGAACTTTTGTGAATAAGTTGGAGCCGCTGAACCGCACGCAACCTACCCTAACAATGTGTTGCTACAGTACTTATGCAAGCCCTAGGAAGTAATACCATAAATACGGTTAGTTAATTTAAAATTAGAACCAAAAATGAGCAAAAAACTACAGATCGACAAAAGCCCACGCCAACCAGGTTAAATAAATCATAGTCTACAATAACGAAGAATTTACTACTGAATTGTGAATGTCAGTAGCAAAAATATGATGCAAATGCCTTTTTAGTTATTTAATCAATATAACTATTTTACAAGGCATTAGAAAATCAAAGTTTAATAATTAAGTACTGAGTTTTAAAGAACTTTGACAAAATGACCAAAACGGTGAGTGAAACGTGATCCAGACTAGGGATGCTACTTCAAAGTAATTCTGCCCGATCATTTACGAGCAATTTAACACTCGCTGAGGGTCGTGTCCGACTGCCCCTGCTCTGGAGACCACGTCAGAATACTCGAAAAATGTTCGAGTAAAAACAGCATTTTCAACTGCCCTGCTACAATTGGGATCTCTTGTGCATGGCGGAAGGTCGTTAGAAGAAGGCGTTACTGGAAAGTGGACGACTCTTTTACCGAACTGCAGGTAGAGTTTAGATTAAGTGACACCAAGGTGGTGCAGTATATGCCGAAACGGAAGAGTAATAAAAAAAGTTTAATAACATTCCGCTACGAGTTCGCAACTATTATGGCTTTGACTTCGATAATATTTACCCATCCTTTTGAATTATTCTGCAGTAACACTGCAAGAAATGCCTCACTACTTTATTAAAGAGCTTTTTATTTGTCCTTGCACAAGTTTTTACAGACTCATTTTGGAATGTTCTGTCGTTGAAAAGTATATAAACTCACTTGAAGCATGCTGCTGTTCTACAATACTGGTAGTGAAGGGCACGTAAAATGATCTAAGCACTCCTGGCCAGCAAATTACTCTTAGTAGGAATAACTGGGTCTGTTACCTTAGCCTCTCCTAACATCCAGTTCTTTACCGCGATTTCGGATATGGAACACATTCTCAAACTTCTATGACACTCTTCTAGTTATTTAAAGAGACAGTCCCTCATCACAAGATACAATGGTCTTAAAGCATGTCAAACCCTCTTGCGATACCACTTAACAAAATGCAAATTTCCTGGTCTGTGTGGTTCGAAGACGAATCCTGGTGTCATTGCCATGATGCCTTTGAGTTATGACAGCAGTATTAATCAGAAAGGGTGCAAGTGGCCTGCTTGTCAACTCCTACTCCAGTGGCAATGTAACACTAATGTACTTACAAATACGGCTTAATGGAAAATAATGCAATGATACTCACTAGACAATCATTTTGTTCTTTTTGAGGAAACTTTATGAAACACTGCGACGGAGATAGTGCCTCTACCGGCATCTCTTCATCGGAAGCCGAACTATCAGCGCAAGGAGGCGATAACTCCACACCATCCAGCTGGTGAAAACGCGTTGCAACACTTAGGGCGACCTTTTGACCCTCTTCCAAGGCGTCCATGTTTTCAATATTTCCCTTACCAGCGTGCGCACTCCACCAGAGTAGATCAACGCAGTTACTGGCAAGAAGCCGCCTGTTCTTGTCGACTCCAACCCGAAGACCGAGGTTGAGTTCATCCCCTGATGGATACGCGTAAGCAGTCCAATTGGTATTTACAGGATCGAAGGGAATTGTCGAACAATACAGTGGGAATGTGGGACTCTGAAGTACCAGTTCTCTTGGAGTGAGTTGCCGTAGTCGTACGGACTTAAGCTTTACCCGTAGAATGGGCTTAAAGAACTTGAAAGACACTTTCTTTGCTATGTGAGATGCAATTTGCTCCCTCACCGAGTTTGATACAGCATTTGCTTCATTTTGTGGTAACTCTACCATCAGGGACATTCCACACCCTGGGTCGAGGAGAAGTCGCAATCGACGACCCGAAGTCTGAGATTCAATTTCACAGGCAAATTCCATAATCGAGAAGCGCCGATCAGATACCGCAGACGGACTTTTTCGTCCTTTATGCTGAAAAATGTAAAGACTGACTTTTTTCTTTTCCTTGTCTGGACCGAAGATGCTGGCATGTGATATCGCCACTCCAAGATGCCAGGGTTCACTACTTGCGTTGAATGGACCAGACTCAAATAAAATTGGACCATGTTCTGCATTTTCGGCATTGTACCTGTCCACGTAATTGTTGCCGAGGAAGCGAATCAGCTCTGAAGTGCTATTTAATTGGACTAGGATGTCAATTCTTGGGCTGGAAAATTCTACCTCGAACAAAAAGGTGTTGTCATCCGAGAGAAACTTATCACCACACAGATAGGACAATTCGATCAAAGTTTTGCACCCGCGTTTACGCCCGTCTCGGGTGAAGAGGACCTGTCGCTGTGAAAAGTGCTGGTTTTTACTGAAATGCTCTCTATTAAGAATTACAAAGGCAAAATCCAGTCGTAGTTCAAAGTTGGTGGACGATTTTGTAGGCAGCAACTCAAGGAACGCTCCAATATGCATTTTGGTCCTCAGTGTCCGCAGTCGCCACTTGTAGCCCAGGAAGGTGAAGCTGACCGAGTCCACTTCTTTCACGAATCCGCGAACGACACTGGAAGGGATTAAAAAAATTGACACAAAAGACTCGTCTTCAGGGGAGTAAGAGCATCTTAGTAGAGGGGCCTCTGAGGAATTTGGGGAAGAGGGGTTGAGCATTTTGACTTTCTCCACATCATGTGGATGAATTCAATGCTGCCACCGGTGGAGGCTGATTGGACAGAAGCACTGACCAATCACAGTCCTCCGGGTAAGCGCATAAGTAAGAATTTTGCAGTTTATACTATTTTATGGCAAATTTGCAAATTTGCACTTTTTCTGTGCATTTCAAATTAACACGAAAAATGTTGAAAGTCTATGCATATTTTGTGGGACTACTAAAAATATAAGCATAAGAAAAATTACGCAAATTGATGTTAGTTTGCCGAAGGCATCCATGTCGATGGTCGCCTTGGTTCGTTTTATGGCATCAATTGTCCTACAACAGGAAGTTTTAATAACTTGTTGTCGGACTTGGATTAACTTTCATAAACTAGTACGAAAGTGAACACAAGTGGTGGAAAGCACTCTGACATCCATCAGTCAGGAGTATTTTATTAAAATATGTTTAGTGCACTTATATTGACGAATTCATCAACTGAAAGTAGTGTACGTAGGAACAACTGAGTAGATTACGCATTTGAATGAATTAGTCCCCTGTCATTCAAATGACAGTTCTGCCAACTTATACTGCCTTCTTTTTAGCCCTGTAGTGTCACGAGACTTTCTTGAAGACAAAAGAAGGTAGAATAGTCGGGCAGAATATGTATTTGCGACCTAGAGAAGGGTTTAGGGGCTACTGGCACAGCCCGAAGGTCGGGCTGCCTGCAGGAGGGGGTACAACGTTAGATACCCTGGGCAGGCCACTACCAAAACCGTGAGCTAAGCAAACAGTTAAAGCACTGCAAGTTGGACCCTCCGGTCAAAATTTCCACGATGTGTGGCTGTTCAAATGACGTAATTATCACGTCTCATTTGTTACATTGAGCAAAAGTACCGCCGTCTGAGTAGCTTACTTTTTCAAACACCATTTTAATTAGGATTTGTAGTTTTGCGTTCTAAGCTTTGGAAATAAGGTTTCATTCAAGGTACGGATAAAATGTATCTTTTTAGGTGTTTATTGCTTACAATTTTGAGCAGAATTTATCGCCTCAAATTGGCACGGAAACTGGACTGTCCGAAATGGCAGCCTGAATGTAACGGAGGCGTAATAACTTGACATCGTCGCAGTTGTGCTACCGTTGTTAAATGTGTTTTTTTTTTTGAATTAGATGTGACAAATTTATAATAAGGTCTCACTTTGGCGAACTTCTAACTATTTACCGACAAAACGCCTGTAATCCACGATGTAATTCTTCCTGCTTTGTGTGCCCCTCTCTTTTAAATGAGCAAGCAATTCACTGCCGGCAAGGTGGAGGCCTTCGTGAGGAATACAAGTTCTTCACTGCAGCTTAGCTGCTTTAAGAAAACTTATGTCAGCATTAATGAATTCGCGAAGCACTCGTTCACTTTGGATCTTTTTCAAAATGTGCCTCATAAATCAGCCCTATTTTTAGCCCTGCATCTCATCATGTAATTGTGCACTGAAAGGGAAAAAAGTGCTGCTTTTTTGTTTACACCTTCCAATCGCTTTAAGTAATAGTTTTGAGAATTTTTGGGAAAGTGCTATTCTCCGGCGGGGGAGACCTCATAATGCTATTTCGTCTAAATTTTGCTTGCGACTTTATATGCGTTCAGGAAACTTGTGGCATTAAAGTACCTTCCACAGAAGTGAAAAAGGCATTAGTGAGGAGAGCAGGATAGAATTCCCTAAAGGCTCAACGCTCTAACATCATGGTGATAAAATCTCTCCCCCTGCATACGAAGAGAGAAAATTGAAAAGTGGATTATCAGTGGAACTAAAGCCTTATCACAAAAGTTGGAATCTTGACTAAAGGCTAAGGACTTGATGGTGAAAACGGTTTTACTTCCTCCACAATGGGGTAAACATATGGCGATGGAATTAGCCACACTAGACTTAGTTGTGCTGCTACGAGTCCCTCCTGAAGGCCCAGATGGCATACCGCCAAAACGAAGAATTAAGTGATCAATTAAAGCATTAATTTCTTTTGTTATTACTTTACGAATAATGTTTGAAGGAAGTCGCTGACAGGCGTGCGGTCCGAAAGTTTTGGTTCTCCATCGCTTTAACGGATTCGCTCATGACATAATCCGTACCTTGTTTTTTTCAATTCGCTGTAGTACGGAGGTGTATTTATGGCGGATGTGGCATACTCTACGAGTGGCGATTGCGATAGGCAAAAATAAGTGGATGAATGCCAACATTCTCTTCCCGTATACATCTGTCCGAAGGTCAGTGACCCACTGAAATTGGCATGGAGCGTAGGCGTAATATTAGGAATGTAATATATTATAGTTTTGGCTGAAAATGTTGTATTTACAGAGTAAATAGAGAAATTAGTGTCCAAATCGTTTTGGTATTGCTTTTGCCAGACGAAGGAGGGGTTACAATGTGGATTTTGTGAACCGCTTGGTCACTTCTGGGAGAAGATTGAGTTTAAAGTCGAAAATCAGATTTCACTGAAATGTTATGTTCGACAAAACTTTTTATTGCAAATATTTACACTGCCTCCAAGGTCACCTCGTTTTGGTCTTTAATCAAAAAAGTCTCCATAGACGTGGTGTAATAATCAAAAGCTTAATATTTAATGGTAAGGCATAAAACAACTGACATGAGTGAATTGCTTTTTTTCTAGAAGGATGGTAACTAGGGGATTACTTAGTTCATATTTTATTTCCCTATAAAATCAAATGCCGAACACTTTCAGCCTACTTCCACACAATGTTTGTGGTGCCAAATTCGTGCAATGCTGTACAATGTGGTTAGAAGAAGGAATAATTTCTTACGATTTTCACGCCTTGTTACTGAATTCCTACTGACCACCGACTTAAGTAGGTGTAATCAGCTCTGACTACAGACAAACGTCACAATCCGTACGTTTTTGATACAGATGGGGGTTATCTGAGGAGCAAATCGGCCATGTCATGGAACCGATAAGCTAGGCTAAAACACTTCCACACGTTGGGAGTCTGGGTTTAAACCTTGTGATACGGATTTGCCATTTCACTAAAGTCCAAATGAGGGAACCAGTTCCAAGTTACAGAGTAAACGTGGAATAAGTTCTGCCTAGGCATCTATACCTTGATCACTCAACCGCAGTCGGTTCGTCATTCCACCCGCCACCTTAACCAGTGTGGTAAGTAATTATTTCTTCGCCTGTGACGTTTCAGTTTTTGCAGTTTTGTCATTAAGTCATTGAAACACGCAAATGGCTGTGCAAGACAAATTAACTTCAAAGCGAAATGACGCACAGGATTGCGGCAATAGGAGTTGTGATTAGATTATAACATCTTATTTTGGTCAGCTTAGAACAAAAACATCCACAAATTGGCTCAAACGATCATTAATTAATGAATTATTTGTGTAGTTAGAATTGTTTTACCTTAAAACGGCTTATGAAGTTTTGTATAAGCAATTTATATTGCTGTTATAAGCAGTTATATTGCAAATGTAATTGGCTTATTCCGAGTCGGTCCTGAAGACAAAAGAAGAAGTAATGCTCGGGTAGAATACAGAAGGCCTGGAGGGCCACTGGCATGAAGCAGAGGCCAGTGGAAGTATAAGGCCCAGGCCCTTTAATGTCCGAGATTGTAAAGCGAAAAGTTTTGCAAATGTCAAAAGTACTGCACATCCCGCTCCCTAACCTTTTGTGCGTCGTCTTTGGTGCTCTCCTTGGTCAGCCTCCGGCGTAGACTTTCACAACTTAGTAGGTGTTGTAAGAAAAACACCTTCATAACCGATCTTGCTTATAATCGGATTCCCATGCAACTGAGAAGATACTCGATCGCAACGTCACCGATCCCTCTTGGCAATTCAGCTAGATCTGGAGTCCCGTCTTGTTTGGAAATTGTATGGGGTGAAGGGGAAATTTGCTAACCATCACTTATGCCTATCGGTAGCCATAAGAGCACTGACCCAAAAGCAGAGTCATTTAATAGAGGAAGGGATCTAAAATAATCTTGGGAGAAGTAGGTTTTACGTCTCCACCTCATTACCGCTTTGTTCTCATTTCGGTGCTTCTCAGTCATGTCTAGCTATCTGGATTTTGCATTCGTGTGTTCACTTAACTGACATCTCTATACAGTTTTCGCAGACAGCACAGCAACGAACCCTTTTAGATGGTTCACGGCTAATGTCGCTCATTTTAGCTGTCAATAGCATTCCTGTGGAACACGAAACTGAAGTAATTTTTGAAGGTGAACGCCATATGTTAGATACCGCCACAGATTCAGCGATCCGGAGGACATGCCCTTGACCCATCGTGTCATAATTTAGCCTTCAGTAATAGATATTAGAGTAGCTGTTCTTTATGATTGGGTCGGCTTTCCGCCGTCAACAATGTAGCGCCTCGAGTCTTCCCTGAAGTCGAAAAAATCGGAATACAATGACAGAACATGTGTCGCCGACGTGCAGGAGGGCTAGGGCTACAGACATGACCCCAGTGACCATGTCGCCGAGACGAAGTACAAGTGTGGGGCTTTGAGTGCCTGCGGAATGTAAACGAAGAGTCAAATAAATAATTAGAGAAACACAAATACACTTTATCTTTGGTATGAAGAAACCTAACATGATGGTAGCATCTCAAACCCACAAAGTGGGATCTGTTGTGTGCATGAGCAGGCAGTGAAATGGAAGGGTAGCCTTACATGCCTTATGCACCACACATGTGTGTGCACATGTTTGAGGAAGGGCTTTTAAGTCACTTTAGTCGGTATCAGGCTCATTTGACAAACAACTGAGGTGTGATGTGCAACATGGTTAGGGGAATGCTTATTTTCCATCACATTTGCGGACCAACAAATTTTGCATATTTTAATCCGCATTATCTTCAATGAATCTTGCATGATAATCATCTTTTGTGTTGATATCAAGAAGTTGATAAAAGTAGGCCCATTTGGCCAAACTCACAACTTCCAGCTCTCTGCCAACTCATACTGAAGGATGTTACAAAGTAACGCTAAAAACCTTTTATTGCATTATAAGTAGGCAATGCAGCCTTTGAGTTTTAGAGTACTGGAAATTATTTCTAGTTAAACAAAGTGAGTAAGGCGCTTCTTTAAAAAAGGACCCATTGCCAGCGAATGTCCCCAGAGATAGGAGTGCTGATGGAAGAAGTTGGTGGGGAGGCCAAAGTATGTGCAGATTTTACCTCACCTTTAGGGTTAAAGATACAACAGGAATTTGGTTAACTGAAGGCAATCCTGGGGAAGTAAATTAAGTCTAACAAGATGTTGTGTACAACTTGTACAAAATGAGGATGAAAAGGTGGTAATCCTACAACAATGTGTGATAATTCTCATGAGAATAATGTTGATTAAACCTTCTACTCTTTGTTTTGGTTTTCACGGGTGCTTAAGGCTCCACTTTCACATTTCCATCAGGTGACCCAGCCTTGGAGCCATGCGAGTAGCCCCAAGCACTTCCACATGTCGGCCATACATATTCTGCCCCGGCATTATGTATTCTTTCGTCTTCAGGAAATACTTTAGATTCTACACTTAGAAGCACATTACCTTTTCATAGCCAGCCTAGTAGTAGGCACGACCCGTTTTTGACACTATTAGAAATGAAACAGACACTTCTTTTTGTGAATGGCAAATTATCAACTCCCTATTTCAATGTTTTATTCATTGACTACGTCCATCTGCACGTCTATCAAAGTGTCACACTGATAGAATTATTGTGCATGAATTAGGCTGGAGTAGAAATTTCATGCATATTTTAGCCTTGACATTTACTTTTGGTCCGAGGGGTTCTCCTCGTCCAACTGTAGTGAGGTAATATTCTGCCAGGCTGTGTGTTGGACTTCATGGGCACTTGAGCCTCTACTCTGTGGCAACCTTCCGACCTTTCATTGCTTTGGTAATGGACGTTCCGCCGTACTACTTCAGCCTACTACAACATCACCGAAAACTGCTTACACAATCTTACCTCGATTTGATGAAAGAGGTCATTTATGTCTTTCGGTGAAAGTGTTTTACGATACATATAAATCGTTAGCTATTTCAGCTATTTAGATGCGAGAAGGGCCGCATTGAGACACCGACCCGAGAGGCTAAGTAGGCAAGTCAGGTAAAAAATGACCTCCAAAACTTACCTGCCAAATTAACCACTTTAAAGTAGGAAAAGAAACCCGACTAGATAAAATCCAACTTTTGCACTTTGAGGGATATTCGTACAACTCAATTTGACATGAGAAAAGTGAGATTTCATTTACCAGCAAGATTCTCAAAAGATGTCAAGAGAGCGGATGCGTATTTACTTAAGGGTTGGAAACACTAAAGCTATTTTCGTCTTACCCTATTGCCTCGTATATTAAGAAGAAAATCTGTCCCTATTCAAAAACGAACTAACTCGAACAAATGAAACGTTTCGGAGTGTCAAAAGTTTTGCTGTCTCCCAACAGTTAAGTTTAATGATAAAATGTAATTATAAAATAGCAACCTTTATATGATTCAAAGAGACTGTCTCAATTGTTCTCTCTTTACACAACTGCAATGGCAGTCTTCCAAAAACAGGTTGTGGCTTGAAACGCCTCACTACGACTAGAAAGCAAGGTCGTAGACCTGAGCCAAGGCTAAAATAAAGCTTCCAGGATTTATATTTAATAAGATAAGTAGGGAGAGAGGGTAGCCAAACTTACTTATACTCAAGAGATGAATTCTGTCAAATAACCCTATACAGGGCATTAAAGTTGTACTTTACTGAACCATTTCAAGTTGGAAATCGGGGAAGTACTACCCCTAATGGCAGGTTGTTAAAAAGGACATTTAGAACTTCAGGAGATTTTTAATTTGCTCGCTAAACGCGCGATCGCAAGGCCACTTCTCACATTTTATTACCTCATGAAATAAAACATTGCAAATGTACTATTTGTTGGAGATTGGTGAAACCCACAAAGCTCCCGATGACAGGAAGTTCAAGTATGTACCGCTGGTGTGCGTCAAACGTGGGAGTTGAGCTGTGCGTGGGATAGGCTTTTGACTATAAAAAACCTTTCTCAACACCTTGGAAATAAATACAAACCCCTCAACTGCTTGAGACGTAAATTCCCAGAACTTACGGTGGCTTTGTTTTTAGGCTTTTAATGATCCTGGAGTGCGGTTAGCTTTCCAGCAGATTGCTGACCAATTTTTTACATTTTAAACATTTTATTTTTTGCGATGTGTGGCCGTTGCTATGTATGTGCTCTCATGGATGCACTATTTCAATGTCACACAATTCCTTCGTGATTGCAATGGTGCTGGAACCAGCCAAAGCTTCTGCTTCCCTTCATGGTTGTACGTTGCTAAAATTTTAAGGGCGATTGTCATTTTAAAGGCGGCTTTATACAGGTACATTATAATCAAGTCATTCTTTCTTTGGAGTCGGCAAATGCCATAAAAAATGAACCGTGGATTTGGCTTATAAAATGGGGAGATTGTTTCTTAAATAACAAAGTAACGCAAAATATCAAGAGAAATAGGGACAAAATAGGGTATTCCATACTTTCTGATTACCGATTTTGATACGAAAAATGATCGTCTGATAGTTTAAATGAATGCCACCTGTGTGTCTCAAGGCCAAAACAAGACTCTAAAGCCAAATCAATTGTCACTAATCCGACTTGAGAGAGGGTGACGCCACAATTGTAATGTGTCCTTTCGTACTTTGGAAACGTCTGTGTTGCAGCTGTAATCATGTCTACATGACTACACTGTTCCGTCACTACAGTATAGACAAGCAGAGCGCAATCCAGTGGACAGTTGACTACCTTAAGTTGCGGTCAAAAGGTCCATTCTTGTGTATATAATACTGATACAACCAAACGGTCGGAAAATTTCATCATCTGACTTTACTGTTGTTGAAATTAAGACGAGTGATGGTGTTATTTGGTAGAGAGTAAAGACTCTTAGGAGTCATTCAAGTGTGGAAGGAACATTTTCATATCGAAAGGCCGCCAACTGATCTTTTCTCCGTAGCTTTTGTCACCACTACCGGTCAATTGCCATATTTGTGTGCGTAATTTAAATTTTGGTTTCTCTCTCTTGTTTGCAGGAGTAGTTTTTCGGGAGGTAACATGGGCTTACTCGTGCGCAACTTGTTTTGAAACCGTTGAAAATATTGAACAATTGCACCTTTAAGGCGGTCAAGTGTTGTGAGTAGTCCACCTAGGTCGTACACACACAGAACTGTTGTACAATCTTGCGTCAGCGAAGCTAAAAATGGGTAATGAACTCCCTTTATGCGCTCACATAAATAATCAGAACCAGCTGCGCCATGTTTTTGGGACAGGAAATCCCTCCACGGCGGCGTTCAAGCCATAATAGTATCACGGGATCGCACTACATTTCCTGAATGATCATGTGCTTTAGTGGTAAAAAAATCCAATTTAGCTGTAGTTCAATTGTGGAATATAAAAGAAGGTCCCTTCTGACAACTTTTGTGGCAGATAGAGGTTGCTTGGTTTAGCTTCATCTCATTCTTCTTTGGAATAGCCTGCATGGTACTCTCCGAGGCTGCTCGATGGAGAAGCAAGGTTATAAAGCTTCTTTATTTAGCCCAAAAAACAACCACTTTCACATCACAGAATATTTGAGACTGATGTTTTCCTTTGTGCATGGATGTTACCCCTTTTCTTATTGCTTGGGAGAGCGACTCAAGCATTCCAGTTCGACAGAACCAGACACGCAGTTGACATGGATTGACCGTAACAAGGGGCAACATTTGCTTAGACTGGTTTCCCACTTAAAAAGTAACAAAAAAAGTAAGCAGCTAATCCACTAGGAAAACTTGTATCCAGAGAGTGAGGTATGAAGAAGAAGCGATCTACCACTATTCAATGCCTTTTGTGGATTTGAACTAAACCACTACAAAAACCTCACATCACTGGCCTTTTTAGATGTGAAATTGCGAACTTTCAAAAGTCCGTTTTACTGTACCAAGCTACTCTGGAGTTAAAAGATGTTGGTGCTTTGATGCGATCCGCACACATTCATATCGAGGCAATAAATGTACACATAAACAGATTTGAATTGGGTCAGATATGTTGTAGACATACGAAACTGTATCATTTATGGTCAAAACAGTTAAACAGCGCTATGATTCAAACTCCTAGAAATTCAAAGACTTTGACACAGCTTCGCCGCCAGTTTGCAAATCATGTAATTTATTTTATCCTAAAAACAATCATGGTTACGGCTGCATTCACACAAGTGGAAGCGAAGTCTAATGAGATGTAGTTAAGCATGAACTAACGAATCTTTGGGATACTTTTACAAGCTCAGAGGGGATAAAAACCAAGAATTAGGATTACTTCCCACATTTATGTGGATTTCGACATTTAGTCAGTTTGCTTTCTGTTAGCCGAAAACGGTATGGTGACCCAACAATGGTGGAATTCCCCCTTTCATTATGCAAAAAGACCACCTAACCTTTCAATTATTTGAAAGCGAGTTCCTGGATAAGCGTTCGTAGTGGGTTTTCTGCCAGTATTGCACCTGAACATGCTGTTTCCGTAGATCTCAAACCAGAGCTACTTTTACCTTGTACTAATAAAACATCAGTAGAAAAGTTCGACCGATTGAAAGACGAAGGGCAGAGGACACGGCCCCACCTTCTCCCGAGGCAAGAAAGCAATGCCACTCTGCGAGACTGGACATTCTGCGAAACTTAGTACCGGGAGCTATATACATACGTAAGGTGAGCATTTTGCTCGCGACTCCTTGCAATATGATTGACATTTTAACCACCTTTAAACCCCCATGCAATACAGGATACCTAGCAAATAAAAGTAATGCTAAGGATAACACCAGTACCCCTTTTCGAAATTAACACATAAAGGACACTACTCTTGTTGAGAACCTTCATTTCAATCTTATTGCAACGCAAATACCACTTTTAACTTAATGATGCGCAAGACACAAATTCTACAATCGATTACACTTATCTCAGGCTGTAAAATAACAGAGAAAACCGTGTGTTGCGTAGTCCACAAAACCCTACAAGCGAATTTAATGGATAACGAGAAATCGAACTGTCATCAAACACAAAAACAGGAATAGATCAGGGGCCTTTTTTGCACTTGAGTATTTTAGTGATACTGCATAGTCCATAACAAATATGTGCCATGCGCTGTCCCTGAAAGTTAGGACCTGACTGTTGAGTCTTTAACCCTCATAAGAGGCGTGAAGCTAGTAGAGAGAAATGTACAGATAGCAAAGTAAACAACTACTCTATTAATTTTGTTGGTGCAGCTAAAAAATGCAGTAGCTAACAACACCAACGTTACAAAACCTATGACTAGCGTATAGTAGATGCCTTAGTGTTCCTCGTCAGACTTGAGTTCACCATAACGAGCTTTCCACTGCTCAATGAATTCGGCCTTTCTCTTCTCACGGAGGGCAAAGTAGTCCGGGTACTGCATTTTTTCCAAAGGATGCCAGAGATCCAGGAACTAACAAGAAGTTATGTAGCAATACGGCGGTTTACATAATCTGGTTGGTGAAAATCATAGCGTTCGTAGGCGACACCGCCGGGAGAAGTTGGATCTAGATTTAACAGCTAGGAAACTATCATGCACTACATAAAAAGGGAAAGGCAGCCTTGTTCTTCTGAAGCTCCTTCCATCCATCGTCCAAGAGTTTCTTCGCCTTCACGGGATCCTTAATATCCCTGTTCCTGTCGAATCTTGCACGAAGAAGAACAGCCTCGAATCTATATTTAAGACTAAACACCCCACCATAGGAGGCACAAACACAGGAATTACTGATCCAACTTCTGAGCTTTAATGTTATAAAGAGCAGCTTTGTATAGATCACACACCTGTTGGGCGTGTGGAACAAGCTTCGTCCTCAGGTATGCCGGAGGGACAGGCTTTGCCATATTTTGGAATGCGCATCTCATATACTGCCTATCCAAACCAAAACCAAGGTAATCTTTAAAAATCTGCAGTCACCAGTTGCTCACAGGTGTATAGCAATAAATGAAAATTTTTTTACTCCGAGTTTATATTTTTTACAAACTTACGCATTAATGCGTTGACGGATTGGATTTAACACCATCTCAGATTACAAAATTAACAAGTACAGCACCATCTACGAGGGAACGAAAAATATATAACACGCATTTAAAGTGCATAACTTCCCTTACTTTAAAAATTATTTGCAACAGTGATCGTTTGTTGTGCTGACAGTTTTTCAATTAAGTATCGCACGTTTTTGGGAGTTAGTTCACGTTTACTATTACTCAATATTAACTTCTTTTGCGCCTTTCGTGTTTTAAAAACCAGGGTTCTAAACTAAAAATTTTGACTTATTTCTTCATTTCGCATTTATTGTCCATCATCCTTTGCCGACCGCGAATAAGGCTAAGGGGGTTGTGTCCTACTTGAAGTCGAAAGAATATATATATATATATGTATATATATATATATATATATATGTACGTATGCATATGTATATATGTATGTACAAATGTATATAATTTTGCCTAAATTATGAACAAGTGAATGGTGCTTCGAAACCGCGCCGGACGAAAGGGGGATGTTTTAAGAAAGCCCCCAGTTTTGCAACAAAATAGTCGGGGTGCCTGTATACTCCACTCGTGATCATTTAAATTACTTATTTAATGGAAACAAAAATGCGACTGATCACGACTACTCAAATCAGACAAAGTAGCTTTGAAACATCAGTCGGCTCTAATTGTAACCAGGTTAAAATTATTTTCAGCCAGCGTAGAACTGCATATTCTGGTATCTGTCCAGTTGGTTCGAAATTCGTTTTTATTAGTTTAATTGGTTTATTTTCATGGGCTTAAAAAGCCATTCCTTTTAAATTTTTAATATAGTTTCCCGAACTAACATGATTTTTAAATGCTGCAGGCTAGTAACGCATACAACGCCCCGAGTGTAATCTGGAGACGATGGGAGACGTGATACTTGCGCAGAACATATATTGCCGGCGTATAGAAGAATTGAGGGTTTACTAGCATGGCCCGAAGGCCATGCCACCTAAGCGGGATACAAAGCCGGGACGTCAGGCTCCCATGAAGCTAAAACGAAGAGTCAAACAATGTTATCAAAGTGTTGCACACACAATACTGACTAATTCATTTATACTGCTAAATCCAAACTCAAATTTTTAATTGGAGTTGCTAATTGATGGCGGAATCTTTCCAAAACGCCTTGGCATTCATCTTATGACTTGTTGATAACCATTGTTATAGTGCCAGTGGCCCAGGGGCAGTGATAAAATCAACCTTTGCTTTGGGAATAAATTGCCTCTGAAATAACTCCCGCAAAAGGCGTAGCTTTCCGCACCATCAGCACTATTGACAGCTTGTTTTTTTCACCTATTATGCCGAGCTGCGTAAACCCCGAGGAATTGAACTTCAATAAAACACCAGCGAAGGGAAGTCAGCTGTCATACTACTTAAGTGAAAAAAAAACATTGTTGTGCAATGAAATCGACCTGCTCGACAGGGTGTTGTTCTCTGTGGAAGAGACGACAGTGGCCTATTGCATTATTAGTCAATGCTATTATTTTCAGCGGTTACCAAAAGTAGCCCTGCCTGAGGCCTACCCAATACCCGCACAACCAGCCAGACGTGGTTCGGACTGACTGTACGTTGGTTTGAAGAAAAAGTATCACCAATGAGAGAGGAGTTGAAGTTGTAAATACTACGAAGTATCCTGGCCAAATGGTTCAAGTTTCAACGTAATTCAGCCTTTCCCCACCTCCCAATTGGATGACGCGACAGGTTTGGAGAAATCGACGAGGCGTAACGGTGTGAAGGAGACCTTCCGAAGGAGAATCACATCTCCCGCCCTAGATTCGTTGTCTACACTTCGAGAATGCTCTCAGGCAACTCAAGCTTAATGTCAAATTATTTTCTCAAAATAACCTTATTTTGAAGGCCACATGACACCGGTGACTGCGCTTTTTAATGGAAAATTTAACTGCCAGTGGCGTTGAAAAGTTAGCTAATTGTGAGAAAATTTGTATTAAAAGAGCATGAGAAGGTGCATAAAACTGGCGCAGTTCAAATCGTAACTAATTTCAAATACACTTTAATAGGGCAAAAATTGACCCTATGTGATGGCATCTAGCTGGTTTTGTACCCCTTACTAACGCAAACTTTAAGACAGGTCTATCAAAGCCCATAAATTGGACAGACAATAAGCTTTAGTGCCCCGAGACTTCTCTGAGGGTAAATGAAGGTATAAAACTGGAAGAGAGTATGTGGTGCCAACGTACAGAAGGGTTGAGAGCTACTGGCATGGCTCAGAAGCCTGCCTGCTCGGCGAAGGCACAATGGTGGAGCACCTAAGTGACCTCTTTACCAAAAATGAAAGTTAAATAAGCATTCATTTTGTTGCAAAGCGTTGCCTTTGATGCTCCCTTGGTCAACCTTCAGAGTCAGCTATTACAACGTAATCGGTGCTGTAAGGAAACACCCACAAGCCAACCGTGCTATTCACTGAATTTCCATGTAGCTGAGGGTATACTTGACCGCAACATCACTGATGTCTCTTATCAATTCCACCAGATTTGGAGTTTCGGCCTACATAGGAATTGGAGTCGGAGATTGGGAGCGTGCTGCCCATCATGCATGGCCATAGCTAGCCTTAGGAATGCTGGCCTAAAAGCAGAGTCATGTAACAAAGGATGGGATAAAACACAGTTCTATGTAGGTAGGGTTTCGCTTTTAGTCCTTTTTTCCACTGTATTCTTACTTTAGTACTGCCCAACCACATCTATCTACCTGGATTTTATTTAGCTAGTAGAGAGGTGGAGGCGATATAGCGTGTTCACTCAGTCGACATCTTCATACAGGTATCGTGAACAGCTCCGCAGCAAAACTTTTCCAGCTTGTTCACGGCCAGCGTTGCTTTATTTGCTAATAGCATTCCAGCATAATATGGGAATGAGGCAGTTGGCATATTTAGCACTTCTTTTGGGTGTCGTTACTGATTCTCCCATTCGCAGCATATGCACTGCTTCCGCCCTGCTAAGTTTTATCATTCAGCAGTAAAAGTCGGACTAGTTGTTCTTCACGATCAAGTTAGCTTTCCGCTCCCCGAGCCCTCTCTGAAGATGGAAGAAGGCATAATACTCGGACAGAATATGCATATTTAATATCAGTAGGGCTTGGAGCTACTGGCATGGCCCCGAGGCCAGACTACCCGACGAAGGTGCAATGGCGGAGCGCCTAAGTGTTCCCTTTTACCACACCCGAGAGATAAACAGACAACCAACGCATTCCATAACAAATACATGGAGCAAATCCAGTGTCTCCTATTAACAAGCTAGAAGAAAATTTCATTGAATTTTATTTGCGGCTCATATCATTCAACCTTCACATCGGTAAGAGCATTTGTCACAACACAAACCCTTGTATGGGAATGAGTCCTTTACTGGTCCTCTATGTAGGGCATAGCCATTCATTCCCAAAAGTTTGCTTAAACAGCAAGTGGATTATGTAGCAAACCCACATTCCCAGTCCGAGAAATGATAATGACTTGTTGACATGTGAACCGCACACTATTAGGCCTTATTTGAGGATTCATTCTTTGTAACTTTGTAGGGAAATTAGGACGCCTCGTTAAAGCCAACTCGTGCAGAGATTACATAAAGTTGGCCAAACCACAGGAGATTTTTAATTTGCTTGATAAATACACGATCGTGGGGCTACTTCTCAGATTTTATTACCTCATTAAATCAAACATTGCAAATGTACTATTTGCTGGAGATTAGTGGAATCCACATGGTTCAGGTTCAAGTATGTACCGCTGGAGCGCGTCAAATGTAGCAGTTGTACTGTAAGTGGAACAAGCTTTTTGACATCCTTATGCAGGTACCGTAGACAGCGCCGCAACGAACTTTTTAGGTTGTTCACGCCCATGGCTAGTACCGCCTCAGTTGTTAATATCATTCCTACAAAACACGGGACTGGGGACGCCGCCGAAGGTAGCACTTATTTTTAGCACTTCTACTGGGGGTCGTCACCAACTCTCCCATCCCTAGCATATGTACTTCTTCCGTCCTGCTAGCGCAAATCATCCAGCAGTATAAATCAGGACAGGTCCTTTAAAATCGGGTTCGCTTTCCGCTGGTACCAGTGTATCACCTTAATGACTCCCTAAAAAACAAAGAATCTATAATACTCAAACAGAATATGCACTGCCGGTTCAGAGAAGTGCCGAAAGGCCATTGTCATGGCCCAGAGGCCGGCCCACTTGTTTGGCCCCTTTACCAAACAAGGCGATCTAACTAAACAACCGAAGTATTGCATAGATGTCTAGTAAGGGGTAGTCCTTCTGTATACGCAAGCAGTTAACGACTTTAATAACCGTGTAAACTTCTCTTCCATGTATCGCTCAGACAGTTATGACGTGAAAAACAGGACAAGTCACCCAGACTAATTTCATGGTCATGACCCGTTGACAGCACGGCTCATTTCTTACCATGTAAGCTAGATCATGTGTATTATCAACAACCAATTTAAAAATATCTGAAGTTCTTCGAAAACCCCATTATTATTCATTAACTCTGTGTAGAAAACATAATTAACACTTTCCACCTCCAAATACTGCGATGAGAATAAGAAAAATCACCTACTTTGTGAAAATGACACAACTAATACTTTTCTCTTTGAGGCACGCTCCTTCTCACCGCTCACGCCGACGAACTTCGGCGGTAGAATTCAACAGGGTGGCACATAATGCGGCAATTTACTTCACGCCTCCGCCTTTAATTACGCTATCCGACAATTTCTGGCGAGGATAATGGCCGCCGCTTTCACATAATCGCGACCCAACTGGACAGGAAATATAATTTCTTTTTCGTGTCTAAGGCTGCAATTTAAACTGTGGTGGTGATTCACCCACCTGCAAGTGGAGGTGAAGCGCTGCCTCATTGTTGCACATCACTTGGCTGCCTGCCGTGTAGTGGCGCTGCACCGACCGACAGGAATTATGCAACCGGACCTACTCTGGTAGACCAATTTACAACCTAGTTTTAATAATTTCTCCTCCTTTTTTTACTTCAAGCCTTCATTAAACCTCTACCTGAGGATGTTTGTGCCTAAGACAGCTTTCGGATGGAGGAAATGCTAATTTAGACTTGTTCGCAAACTATAGCAATCTTATTAATGAAAAAAAGTGATTGACATTTGTTCCCCTTCTCATTTACATGGTCACCTGTCAATAATCATCCGGACTGCCCTTTGTACCTCCGGTATGCAAATTCTCTCGGTGCAATGCACAGAGCTACTTTGCATCACCAGTTTGAGAGGAATTAAATTCTTTTAAAAATGAAACAATCAAATCACAATGGGTAAAAAGAATTACACCTTTGTAAGCGGTGGTGTAGATTCAAAGTATGAACTTGAAGGCATTAGAAAGATGGCATCTAAGCTTGGTAGGTTGCAGAGAGTTTAAAAAATGTCAAAAGAGTGGACTGTTGCATCTTCTACGCATGTGATCATTAAAAGGCATTTTGATCAGCTATGGAAATAGTTTTCTGTAGGAAGTGTGGAACCAGAATAAAAAATAAATGTAAACTAATGGACAAGGCTTAACTTTCGTTTATAAAGTAGTCCATGATGTACAATTTGTCATATTCTCCGTGTTTTTAGGGACTGAATGACTCCATTTAGATAAAATTATGGTCGATGATTCATGGTTTTGACCATGACATGACCTGCTTGTCACTCCTCAGGGCGAATCCTTACCAAATGGCTTTTGGGCAGAGACTGACAGGAGAGATAGGTGAACACACTCAGGACAAGATGTATCCCCGATCCAATTTTAGAAAGAAAATTGTAACTAGGAAAATAACGACAGTCCAAAAAACGCGAGCTTAGGGAGAGAGGGAGAAAAAACCTTAAGAAAATCCATTCGTACATGCATTTAGAGTGTCTTAATACCGGCCTAGCACTTTAATTTTACAACACTGTCACTCTTCCCTTTAGATTAGGGAAGCATAATTTCCCAAATGAAATCGGTTTTGGCTAATAATGTGACATATGGTATCAGTGTGTGCTTCATTGTACGGCTATAGTACTTAAATCGCTATCACAATGCACAAATCACTCTGTTCAAATTTGTGCCTCTAAAAGGGGCAGATGCCCTGGACGACGAATAACCAAGTAAGCGGCAGGCCCAGTAAGTTATATTACTCTAAAGTAATGAATTTGGAGGAAAATGAGGCTCCAGCAACAGTTCACCACTGGCAGCACGCAACTACTTGCAACTCCCCCAGAACTGCCATCCGGGAATCAATTCCCTTGAAAATCTAATCGTCACACACAAAATTGGTTGTCCAACCGCCTAGTCCAAAGTGACTGTCTGCCACTTTATATCTCCATAAGCAAATAAAAGGAAGAATAAAAGTCAACGTCTGTTTAAAAATAGAGTTCCAAATTAGTTTGAAACACAATTTTGCTGCCGAAGCGTAGCACCACAACTTCCCAGAAATTTAGCTGAAAGAAGAGGGGGAGGAAAATAACGCAGTTTCAAAGCACCACTGCGCGTTTTCCTCCGTGAGGGAGAGGAGGGGAAAAAAAGAGAGAGGAAATTTTCGCATGAGATGAGGCTTACCCGATTGCGAGAGCGTTGGCAGCTAACTGGTGCACGCAAGTGTGTGCGCGTGTGTGGAAGTTACGCCCACTCCGGCCATGGGGAAATGCGTCCGAAATTGCCCCGCTGACTCACGCCCGGCAAAGTCCGCCGAGTGGCGCAGTCCCATTTTGGACATGCTTTCATTCTGTTTGACGTGCAGAGGAGGAATTAGCTCAGAGCAGTAGCCTAAAGTGAAGTCACTAAGATTGCCTCCACTTGGTTTGTAATTCTTAGAAATTTATTTTGTACAATGCAAAAGGAGATTCTGCAAACCAGTAATAGTCAAATTGAAATTTAACTATTCTGCCTCATGGAGTATCAGACGTCCGATGTTTTTCAAGCTTTAAATTTAGTAGTACACCAAGGAAGCACATTATACTCGTCCCCATTTGTGAATGAAAATTTACGGATTGATGCATTTTTCCTTTCAAAAAATAGTTACATCTTCCTGGGTGGATAAAATACTCATGACACCGTTGGAAGCCGATCTTGTAGGATCGCGCCTACGTTCATGTACACTCCTGTCATTCGGATCGCCCCCACAACGACCCGTACAGTATCACTATCTTCGTTTCGCCTGAGAAAATCTACCTCTCCTGATTACAATAGAGATAAAGTTAAGGTTTTTAATTTGGCAAGAAATTAGAGCGGAATTCTAACAGCTTTTCACTCATTTTACTTTAACTACAAATAATGCATTTCTTTTCCAGTGCGGTTGTCAAACAGTTGGCACAGACAAAACATCGTATGAACAGGCAGGAGCTCGATGAAACTCGGAATATTGTAAGCAGAATTAGTTGCATTTTCCACTGATGTCCTTTGGGGTCTTTTGAATCTACTCATCTACAAAGACTTGTCGTAGCTATAAAAAAACCTTAACCTCTAATAAAAACCAATTATTTCACTGTTTTACATTTGTCCAAGCACATTCGCTGTGGTCTCCTGAGACTTCCCTAAAGCCGAAAGGAGGCATTATACTAGGCCTGGGGATTACCGCCATCCCCCAGAGGCTACGCCAGCAAAATAAAAGCAATAGTTGAACAAATAGTCCAAGTATTGCACCTGCTACGAGTATCATGGACAAATGACATTCCGATTTTCTCACCTAAGCCAGAGCGTCACAAATGTTTGGTGTGGGCTTTGTTACATGGCGATAATAACTTGCATAACATCATTTCACAACCAAATCGGTTAGATTTAAGACAGGGGGCTAACCACATTTGCTAGTTTTTGGGGAGAGATTCATGCGGTCAAAAGATTGACGACAATTGATGGCATTTAAGAATAACCCAAGCCCAGGGACTGTGATGGCAGATTTTACGCTGAGATTCTGGTAACAGGCCGTCTGAACTTCCACGTCTTTTCACTTTCGTCATCACTATAAATAATTTGACTTTTCGTCTCTTCCGCAAGAAGAATCTGCCTCATTCCTAAAACTACACATGTGGTGGCTACAAGATGTTTGGAAAGGGTACTTGTGCTAGCTCAGAAAACACGTCTTAAGGAAAAAAAAGGAACCTTGAGTTTAACACGATTACAATCCTCATCTATCAATGACTACCTTATTTACATTTACGGTGTGCAATGCTCTTTACCTACATCGACTTTACAACTTTAATTCCCACAAACATGCTGATAAATGTGCGATGTTTGAGTGCTTTCGTCAGTGACGGCGAAAAATCGGTCTCCCAACGAGGAAGAAGGACGCCTTCACCTTGCAAGAGGCTAACATGTACACTCAACTAGCAGCCAATAGCAAAATATTAGTACAGAGATCGTGATGTCTACTTTTATAAGAGAGGGTCATGGACTTGGTCGTTGGGCAGCCACCTCTTATTAGGACATCTAATTACCTAATTAAACACGAAGATCAAAGCAAAATCTGCACCTTGTTTTGGCCGTAGCTTTCTTTTCATAGTATAATAACAAGTAGGCCAAATTTGCATAAGGTAACTGAAGTGTTTGTTACTATTGCTTGAAAATTTTAGGGTTTCAGGGTCTCCACTATTCTATTCTGCAGGCTGGAATACCAATGTCTTCGAGACTATACTGACTGACCTTCGTGTTGGGACAAGGTAAATCCCCAGAAACTTACCTGAAGACGAAAGAAGACATACCGGCGTAAAGGGAGGGTGATAGGCTACTGGCGCGGCCCTGAGGTCATGCCACCCAGAGGAAATACAGAAGCTTATCCATAAATATCGTCGAAGTCAGAATGAAGAATTTAATAAATAATTAAAGTAGTACAATACTATGCATCATATATTGTCTCTTATTTATTTTATGCCAGTTTAATTATGAAAGCATTCAAAAATTTGGCATTGAGAGAGTAAATCTCGAGGTAATACTTGCCTTTAAAATTGATGGACAAGATGTTTGGCCTCGCCTTAAGCCTCAGCTTTGATGCTGCGTCAGGTGGAACATATGACCCTGCCATGGTCGTTCAAAGGATATTTGGATTGTACACCTAAAAAATTTTTATTTCATAATACTCTTGTAGAAATACTGTAATTTTTAGCTTAAACTTTAAATTGTAACATACAGCAGTGTTTTAATGAGCTGGTCCTACTCTACCCGGCATTCCAGACAGATCTGTCGGTGTCCACCTCCTCACGGAAAATGAAGATTGCATCACTTGGGCGGATTGACGCTCCGGAGGCCAAAGAAGGGCTACAGACTTTGAAGCGTTGTAGGAGCAATCCACCATTCCCATTTTTTCTCTGGTAGCAGCTTTTAGCTCCAGTTTTGTTGCCCAACAGTCCAAATCAGTCGACTGCATGAATATTTGATAAAGAGTTTTCTAACTCCTCATAGAGACCCTCCTGAATTCTAAAATCACGTTCTCAAAATAAAGGTGAATTTCACTAATTACTCATAAAAGTTTTCGAGAAAATATTGCTTCATCGCCTCCACCTGAGGTCAAAGGGTAAAATCTGAGGAAAGAGGCAGAACTTTTCACAGTCCACTTACCGTCAAGAGGCAAACACACTTAATTAGCTGTGTTTCCTACTTTTGAAAAAGAACCACTTGGCCTCCTTCTACTTAACTAACTCCATTTGTGTAATTACAAGAGGGGAAATGTAAATGTCCTGAAGTCACCTGGTCTTTAATAGCAACGCCACATTGATTGTTTGAAGACTAAAGTACCAATGAAGTAATCTTTATAAGGAATGCAATCTCAGTGTTCACGAGTCCGATGTAATTGAAAGATTCATTTTCCATGAACTTGAGCGATGCCATTCTCTAGCGTACCCAGGCTTCTCTGAAGACAAAAGAAGACACTGCGAGGGCAGAATGTTTTAAAGATTCATAGAGGGGGTGAGTGTCTACTAGCATGGTTCGGGGACCATTCTGCCCAATGGAGGTACAGAGGCGGAGCCTTCAGTGTCCACGTATTCCATAACCCCTCGCCTCCTTTTGGTCAATCTTTCGAGCCCCCATTTATAAGGTAGCCAGTGATGTAAAACAAAAAACCACCACAAGGCAACCCCGCTGGTCATCGAATTTGCTTACAATTGGCAATTCCACTGTCCTGTTTGGAAACTGTATAAGAGGAAGGGAGAATGTGCTGTTTATCTCAAATATTCACCTCTAGTCGTAAGAACAACGGCTTAAAAACAGCCATTTAGCAGGGGCTGGGGCTTAAAACAGTTTCGTAGGGGTAAGGTATCACGTCTTTTTCTCCATGCTACTTCGTTCTCACCTCGGTGCTGCTTAGCCATATATGTGGGTTCCACCTAGCTAATGGACGAGAGGAAGTATTAGGCGTTCACTAAATCCACATTTTCAGTATATGCCATTTACTTTTCAAATGGTTTATAGATAGCATTAATTCAGATGTTAACAGCTTTCCCACGGAACAAGGGCTGAAGTGGTTGCCGAACGTAGACGTCAGTTTCAACCCTTCTGTCAGGGGTCATCATAGATTCTGCTATCCGCAGCATATGCCCTTCTCCCGTCACGTTGAGATTTATCATTCAGCAGTAGAAATCAAGGCAACTGCCCCTTATGCTCAGGTTAGCTTTCCGCTGCCACTGATTTAGCACCCAAGTCTTTCCTGAAGACGAAAAAAGACATAATATTGGGGTGGAGTATGTATGGTGGCCGTACAGATTGGTTGGTGGACTACCACCATGGTCTGGAGGCCAAGCCGTCCAAAGAGATTTCAGAGGCGGTGCCTTCAGTGCTCTCGAAACTAAAGCGTCAAGTTAACCAAAAAATCAAATCATCTCCATTCATTACAGGGTGGTTGAACACTGTGGTCTGCTAAGCAGGTCCATTTGCATAATTTACACCTAGTGTTTTGAACTAGATAATAGTCAGTTTAATGGTTTTCAAAGCTGGACGTGGTGCCTAGTCTTTTACTTGGAGTTTGCCCCCACGCCTCTTCTTTTACCATTCATTAGCAATCGGAGGGTAGGACAAGAGGACTATAACAATAGAATTGTATTTTAAGCCCCTTTTGTTGGACCAAACGAGTATCCTCTCTGCTTTCAAGCTTCCAACTTTTTCGATGCGGTCACACCGAACACCTTTTACTATTGCCACAAATAAAGTTAGAACTTTGTAAACACTGCTATTTTACAGTTTTTTTGCTATTTACCCGAGGATGCATTTCGTAAGGTCGGTGTGAACTACCGGGTTTTGGATTACAGGTAAATAAAACTCTGCAAAGTATAATAAAATCATAATCTCGTGCGTGGGGGATGTTATCGCAGTTTTACGATGATGTAAGATGAGTATCAAATAGAAATTATTAGTTTCTAGGCTCAAAATGTCTCACTTCTTCGCACAACGCTTCTGCTGTCAAAGTTTTGATGCTTTGTGGAATCAAACGACTGCAATTTTGCCCCAAGCAGCCTGGTGGGTTAGGCGAATCAAATGGCAATACTGAATCAGCAGGCAACCTAAAAGCATGAAATAATAAATCATTTGGAAGCTTTTTTGGCATCACGCGACAGTGTGATGGTAGTTTTTTTTCATCCCCAAATAAGGTGACAGAATGGCATACTCCGCTTTTCTCCGAGACAATCAACCATGTCCAGTGCTCCTCTTAACATCAACTGATGCCCTTTGGGTTAAACTACCAGTTACTTGAATTAGCGTTCGAAACTGCACAGCGTTGATGCTGATTTTTAAATTTAACACATTGTCATATTTGCCTCAGCTTTGCCAGCTTTCTTCTTTGGTACTTTAAATGAATGGAAAATATGTCCCTGAGTTGGGGAATTTTTGCAGAAGTAGGTGTGCTTTTTTTGTACGCATTTGTGATTCAACGATCCAGGCATGAGACCTTAAGAAAAGGAAGTAGAAACAGGTCGGTTCCTGCTTCATTGTTTGTATATTTGGGTTATCGGTTGAGGTTAATACGAAGCACAAATTGCACCAGGAAATGGCTCTGGTTAACTAAGGCTAATGAACTCTGCTTTGAGAGAAATTACGAAGCATTCATTCTGGTAAGGCATGCCTTTAGGGTGTGGAAAAATTATATTAAAATTGACCTCTTTATATATTTAATGGAGTGTTTCGTGTAGGCCTGGTGCAGATTGTGCGCTTTTGACATTTCAAAGGAGAAAACTTGGCCAAGGACAAGCCATATCGCTTTGTTTTCACTTCGGTGCTGCTTTGCCATGCCTGCCTGGATTTCATCCAGTTAGTGGAGAGGTGAAGGGAGTATCACGTGCATACTTCATTGAAATCTTCATGCAGTTGCTGTAAACAGCTCTGCAAGGAACGTTCCCAGCGGGTTCATGACTGGTGTCGCTTCAGACGTTAATAGCATCTCTGCAAAACACGAGACTGGGGTAGTCGCCGAAGCCGGATAGCATTTTCGACCCTTCAGTTGAGGGTCGTCACGCTTCCACCCATCCCCAGAAGATGTCCTTCTTTCTGCACATTAAGGTTTAGCATATAGTAACAGAACTCGAGGCAGGTGTCCTTAATGACCGAGTTTGCTTTCCGTTGCCACCAATGTACCGCCTTGAGACTTCCCCGAGGACGAAAGAAGACAATACCAGGACAGTATTTGTACTATCGACGGAGAGGAAGGCTGGGGGCTACTGACATGCCTCGGGGGCCGTGTCGCCCAGCAAAGGTACAAAGGCGGAGCCTTAAGTTCCCGAAAAATTAAGCAAACAATCCAAATATTAAATTTGCCTACAGCCAAGTTGACTATTATTTAAAAACACCTCGAGTTGTTGCCTTCCACCAAGTCGTTAAATACCTGTTTTTAAAAACACTGTGTTTAACTGCCTTCGTCTGTCAAACATGTCTGCTTTAATGTAACAAGATTTGATGCAGTAAACACATTCTTTACCCTTTATCACTCCCTCCCTACTGACTGCACAAACAATATCGTGGATCGGTTGAATTTAAAGGTACCAACATTGATGTAGAATGTTCTTTTGGGAACAACTAAACAAAATGCATTCACCAGGGCATCTGGCCTGTTTATATTAGAATATCTTAGTGGCGAACGTGTTAGTCTATGAAATAAACGGTGTCAGGAAAGTGGAATTAAAATGTACTCTCAGAGTAGCGAGTAATTCCACTGGGCTTGAGCTCGTTAATGTAGTAACTGTAGCTTATTTGGCCACACCGAAAGTGAAAATGTGAAGCATGAAAATTTATCTGTTATACCGCAAGTTAATGCGCAGAAGCGTTGGACACTGAGCTTACTCAATTCTTTGGTAAGCTTTGAGGCTTAAGTAAACTTGGATAATGTTGAAATTGATGGAGAAAAATGGATTGAACAGTAGAATTTCTTAAGTGGTTAGTAAAGCTGATTATATGTCCTCCTTTAAGTTAAGAAATCCCCGAAATATATATTGACTAAGAATAATTTTGAGAGTACACAGTCCGGATCCTTTCTTTTCGTGGGCTAATTAAAAGAAGAAAGGAATGTGAATCCATTTTTTAACATCTATGCCACACACAAACAACCTTGATTTCTCTCCCTACCAGCATGCTTGCTTAAAGATCGTCAACTTTCTCGTAGGTTTCAAATTTGATTCTTCTAGTGTCACTTGTAGTTCCGCATAACCTCGGTACTTTGTAAAGAATACAGAAGTAAATTTCTACCTCCACAGCACTTACGACCTACCGAATGCGTAACTGTCGTAGCCCCTCGAGACCTCTCTAAGGACGAGAGATATGATATCAGGGCAGAATGTATTGCGACGTACGGAAAGGCTGAGGGTAAAGGGCGTGGCTACCGGCCACAATGGCTGCGGCCTTCAGTGCCCGAGTGACCGAAACAAGGGGGTAAACAAACAATAAAAGCATTACACATTTTAAATGTTTTTGTTTACACTATAATTGTGAGATAATCCTGTTAAAGCTATTTAGTCCTGAGTGATTAGCCTCCATTCCTGAGCTAAGAGTACCAAATCATAGCATAAAATTCTGCAATTGACTTGCCTGTTTCGCATGGACACGTAGGCGCGTGTGGCAGCCAGTAATTTCGTAATTAAATGCGATGTGTCAAGGAGGACTTGGTGTAGAATGTGGAATGCAATGCGCTTGCTTACTTACTTTGGACATTATTTTGACTTGATAACCACTACACACCGGACAACAAAGAAGGGAATGGTCAAAGATAAAATTTTTACGAAAGCATTGGATACAAATGTAGCGCACCGAGTCTTCCCTGAAGACAATAGAAGCCATAATACTGGGGCAGAATCAGCATTGCCAACGAAAAAAAGGACTAGGGGTTGCTGGCATGCCTCGGAGGGCAATCTGTCCAGTAGAACTACCAAGGTGGGGTCTGAAGTGCCCTCCACTCAGAGCATTGGATAGCCCCTCTTCCCCTTTGAGCGTCGTCCCCAGCGCGCCGCTAGACCAATCTCCTACGTCTGTTAGCACACCGTAGTCGGTGCCGTAAGAATAGCACTCACGAGCCACTAACGTCAGTCATCGAATCTGCGTGTAACAGTGGGGGTGTTTGACAGCAACGTCACTCATTCCTCCTTGCTATTCTACTGAATCTGGCGTTTCGTTCCGTCTGGAAATTGTGTTGAAGGAGGAGGTGGTCATCATGGATGTCCACTGCTAGCCGTAAGATCTCAGACCTAAAAGTAGAGTAGTTTGATAAACGATGGTATTTAAAACACTTTCATGGGAATAATGTTTTGCGCCTTCTCCTCCTCCGCTGTTCAGTCACATCTATCTCAGTTCTATCCAGTTAGTGGAGAGTTGGAGAAGGTATCGAGTGTCCACTTAATTAACATTCTTATGCAGATACAGTAGATAGCACAGTAACGAAAATTTATAGATGGTTTGCAGCTAGTGTGGTTTCAGTTGTTAATAACAATCCTACGAAAAATAAGACTGGGGTAATTATTGAAGGTGAACATCAGTTTCAATCCTTCTGTTAGGGGTTGACACAGATAATCCCATCCGCAAAACATAATCTTCTGTGCCGTTAAAGTTCAACTTTCAGTGACAGGAATCAGAGTACCCGCCCTTTTTGAATAATTCTCTTTCCACAGCCATCAATGTACCGCCCAGAGATTTTATTTAAGACAGGCTGGCATTATTCCAGGACAGAACTTGTATTTTGGAAGTACAGAAGGGCTGGGATCTACAGGCAGGGTCCAGAGTCCATGCCATTCAGTGGAAGTACAGAGATGGGGCCTTAAATGCTCACATAACCAAAACCGAGAGTTTAACAGTCAAAGTATTGCAGTAACCTTTAGATTAATAAGTGTGCTCAAAATGTGGGGCGTTTCATATTCCATAAGACCCCAAGTTTTGGAAGTGCCTTAAATAGGCCAGTGTAGTTAATACTGTCAGGCGGGGCCAGTAGCTCGTGGAAAATTTCACAATTGACCCCTTCAGCATCCAGCTTAATTCACTCTTCACCTTCGAAATTGACGGGAAAATGGGTTTAGTCGTCAGTTAGTAGGCTAGTGGAACAATCACACCGGAGCACATGGAGCGAACCACCTGATACACGCAAAAAGCTTTGGCATAAATTTTGGGCAAAAAAATTCCACAAGATTATATTTTCTCTACCATTCCATCAAAATGCAAATTTCATGCCTTCCGGTAGTTGGTGGTGCGGAACGAGGGCTGCATGCAGCTTGCAGCTATCTAGGCTACCCTCTGGATAATTCTTTTAAATAAAGAGGAGGAGTGATGAGTTACCTGCTTTCATCCACTTTTCCTTGGAGTATAATATACCTAGAACTCGTTAATACTATACATATCTATTTATTTTTTTACTTACTTGACAAACACAACTAAATATCCCTTGAAAGCTGGTATCCTTACTTCCTTTCATAACGATTTTTACAGTGATTAAAGTTTTAAGTAGTAAAATAGTAAAATTGTCAGCTCTTTTACTGAGAGGCATGTTAAGATATGATAATAAAAAAGAACTCTTACACATTAATGCATAGTTCTTCCACCGCACCGCAGTAAGACGCTTGTTTGACAGCTCTCGTCTTTCGTCCCCAAATAGCCGGCCAATCAAAACCATGGATTTCTCCATTCTGTTCTTACCACCAGTCAATAGGCAAAGACGTCAGGTGTGTGCAACGGCGTAGTCAGGTCATTGTGGTGGGCTGCTTCTCTCGGGGAGAAATATTTCGCCTTAAAGGCAACAAGTTGTGCATACGTACCTTAACCTCAATGTGTTCAACGGGGTTTGAGACAAGTTAGAGGCTGAATTTACTTTAGTCCAATCACTTCTGCTTGTGAGCCAGAAGAATCATGAATGGAGAGAAAAAATGTTTCTTGTTTAGCAGTTTAAGACCTAGTAAATGTTAGCTTTAATAGGTTATTCAGCAGTTTATTCATATGAGGGAGAAGGCTACTGACAAGCAGGCACTCGGTACAGCTCACCATCCACTCTGTTGGATCTGCTGATGTTTATGCTATTTGTAGTTGATTTCGTTGTGTCTAGAACTCTTCTTTTCATAGAATAAATTTGCATTACAGGTTGCTACAGGAATATGCGAAAAATTGCAATTGTACCGACGCAAACTCCAATTCTAGGGCAGTACCTTCCCTCCCGTAAGATTAAGTCACATAAACATAAGGTGCACAACCGAGTCCTCCGCCTTAAGTATGAAATGTTGAAATTTGCTTCAAGATCCCCTTTAGACCAGCAGCTACCCTGACTGATTGTTTCATGACTCTGTGGAGTCACTTCTGTTGCGGACTCCAACTCTTGTGCTGGGTTTTTTATTTTAATAGCTAAATTTAGAATGCACCACCAGAGATGACGAGAAGGTAAATGTTTTCATCAACCCCTATCACGCGATGTGGCCACTTAAGTACAGTGAATGTTTAAGGCAGCAATAACCCCTCAAAACCGGTTGCTTTTATAAGTGGTAGTAAGTAGAGCCCAAAAATCACTTAGAGCAAAGGAAAGAGTGGCAGTTCTTTCTCCACAAACTCCTTCACTACTATGCGCCAAGATTTTTAAAAAAAATTACCCCACAAATCACTACAGCGCCTCCTGGAACAGGATCACATTTCAAACCTCGATTGGGCTGAGTTATAGCAAAACATTAAGATCACCACCCAAGGTTTTGTTATGACAATTCAATGTTTACATTTAAGTTTAATCACCTATTAAAAATAGTACCTATGTGCAGCGTATGAAAAACCGATCCTTGTGAGATTCAGTTTTGAAGCGGACTTGATAAGTAAAGACCGTTGACCCGATTTTTCACCCCATGATTCCAACACTTTATACCAGCACTAGGAAATGCTTCGGGCAGCGAGTGTCCAATTGGAGAGTAGTTTGAAAAGCATTAGGCTTTGGCAGGCACGGCCCTTGTTATTACGAAAGAATTCGCCTTTCGGACAACCCTGGTATGAGGCATCACGCGCCCCAGAAACCAACCAATCACTGGTGTGACTGATTCATAACCCTGCACGGTTAGCCAATAGGGAGGCTTGCAAAAGTAAACGCAGTCATGCCAACACCCTGGGATTTTGTAATCTAGCCAAAGCCATTCTCTTCAACAGGCACCTTACGTTATGCCATACCCATCCATTGAAGAAGAAACAATCAAGCAGAACATTAGCATCTGCCACAACTTTTCACGCTGGTCATTTAATAGTACAAGTGGGAACTGAGTATACAGGTGCCAACGAAGACGTTTTTCACTCGATAAACCTAACTTCAAAATAAATGTCTAAAGAACAAAAAAAGCAAATTAATATCAAATTTACAAATCAACCATCAAAACAAAGGTACTAGGTATTTAGCAGTATTGCAAAACATGCTAACTCGGTACAAATATCCACCTAGGCGAAGAAATGCCACGGAAGGTTAGGAAACAGATAAATGTTTTGATGTGCGTCAACAGTGGGTGGAAGGGGGAAGCATCACAGACTGTAAGGTAAAACCGATCAACAGATGGGGCTTGGGGATCATTGGAAATTCTCCAGATAGAACGTAAGCACCTGGCAAAGTTCATTGATCTCACAGAGGTCTCGCACGAAGAAGAGTAACTTCTCTAGTTGTGTCTCCGGCTCAGGAAATGACACTCTTCCGTAGAGTTCACGAATAGATGCACTTCTCCGCTCCTTGGTTGTAGTTGCTGTTACCGTTGAAGTGGAGGAGACGGCGCCTTCACCCCTACTCGAATGCCGACGAATTTGATCTCGCTTGCGACGCAAATGGCGTCTCTTGGACACCTTGGAGAAGACCAAAAAGAAAGCGCCCGTCTGTTGAACACCAAAAGATACGACTCGATTTAAAGGTATGTGCTTGAAACAGGCCATTCCCGATACGGCTCTTTCAATGCCATTGGGATGAATAGGATGTGGCACTATACTATCGAATGTGTAAATTCGGAGAAGGCTTATCTTATCAAAACTGGATACCAGCCACACCGTCTCGTCTGGAGGTACTTCTGGAATATTGATCAGATTGCAGGGATAGTGGCGTACGCAGGCTCCAGCTGGATGGAGACGCCAGAAGTACATTGTGTAGGCATAGGAGGGTCGAGGAAGTCGAAGTTCAGTGGAATCTGTGCTGCCTTCTGGGTGGGAAGTCTCGCGGCACACCTTATTCCACCTTTCCAAGAGGAGGAGTTTAAGTTCAATTAAGGCTTGATCATCCTCACGACCCCACACGGTGAGACAGTGTTGAGGGAAGTATTGATCAACTATTTGCGTGAGACTGATCTCCTGACCTCTCTGCAATTCGGCATAATCCACGTAGTCGCAACGGCACATGAGAGCTGTCAACTCGAGGAAGTGTGTGCCTCTCAGAATGATATTTAGTTCACCTGTGTACAGATCGGAGTGAAGTTGATGCGCGACGATATCCATTATTCGTTCAGTTAACGGAGATGTTTGAACGATGGCCTTTTTTGACACTGCAGTGACGAGGAAGACAATGTCAATAGTCATATCCTCAAGACTGAAGTCGGAGCCCTGGTCAGTTCGGGTTAATGTAGACTCGTAGAGCGAGATAACGTCACACACGTTCCACTCAGCCTCCAAATATATCATTCTAGGTCTTGCAGGCGCCCTACCGAATACGTACTGCGGGCCTGAGATTCGACAATATAGCCCACAGTGACAGAGGTTCTGTGCAATTGCTTCGGAGAGTTCAAGCTTGCCAAGGAGACTTCCCATTAGCTGATGTACCTTCATTGTACCATCGAAACTGACAACCTCGTAGCCAGTAGGAAGATGAATGTGGATAGGAAGACTGAAAGGGAGGCTATGCGTGTATGGGTTGCGTAGAGAAATGGCTACTACTTCAAAGCACGAGGGTACAATGCGACGCCCACCACGGATACGACATCTCATTAGCATGTCTGTGCAGAAGGCAGCGAAGCGACTCACCTCACTGTAGAGTTTACGTGCCTCAGTGATTTTTCTACGTCGACCATGCGGCGAGGTCGTGTGCTCTTCCTGACTTGTCTCAGCCCTTAAGGTGAATTGAGATAGGTAAGCCTGAAGACAGGCAAGCACCAGTGGTGAGGGCAGAAATGCAGTTGAATAAATCGCCAGACATTCCCACATTACAATAATGGGGATCCACTTGTGTGAGTATCCCGGAGGCGAAGAAAAGCGTTGTGACTCAGGTTGTTGTCGTTGTGTACTAACGGCCCGTCTACCTTCGGCTCCGTCGCGGTGGCATAGAAGGTCCACAACTCTGGTCGCCCGTCTCCGAGTTGGTTCTGTCCCAAATTGATGAATATCCGTGCGAAGAGCGTAAGTAGAGGGAGTGGCCTGCTTAATTAGCTGCAAAAATAGTTCATCCTTAAGTCCGATGCTCTCAAAACACATTTGAGCGATCTCTTTAATCAGATTGTACTTGTCAGCATCAACGGGAAAGCGGTACATGGCGCTAGGTCTGTGATCAGTCTCCTCCACCACGCGCTCCTGACGTCTAGTGTGCAGATTTGAAAGCGAGAGGAGTTTTTCTGAAAGTCGAATAGCGTCATTTTCCAGCAAAGAGTCAAAAATCCTAGACAGGGGCTCTTTTAGTGGAACTTCAGAATGACTTCGATGGAGGACACAGCTCGGCCGAACAAGCTGTTTCCAGAGATGGAGAAAACGAGATTCGGGTTCAGCACTGCTTACTGTAGAATCACTGCCTAACGATGAGAACCAACAAGCTCGGTGGAGATGATACTTCCAGCGTTCGTACTCTTCGTCATTTGAACATACCAAATACACCGGATCTCGATTTGGCGCCCACAAGGAAATCGTCAAATTACTGACGCCATTTATATCAATTCCTGCGTCTGATTCAGAGTCCGTTGCATCATAATCATCGTATGCTAATTGCGAAGAGGTGAGTTCCCGGTCATTATCAGCACTTCTTTCTTCAGGAATTGCAAGGCATCGAATGTAGGTAGTTGTAAGATCCCGGAAACCAGTTAAATATTGTCCTCTGGCATCACGAGCGTAGACAAGAAATGTCCCCATCAGCATTCCCCATACACGATGACTCTGTCCCCTTCTGTACCTTCGTAACCAGCCACTGGTGACCAACTGTGCACTATACATATGAAAGATCCTTTCCGCTTGAACACGACGCAATGCTCGGCGTATTTTGTTTTCCCAAACTCGAGTTTCGGTAATTCTGGACGAGCGAAGGGTGTAGATCTTTCCGCTTTGCAAAACCAAATTGATAGCAGAAGAGACAGTTACTTTCCCTCGCCCTTCAGGCCGGTGATCATGGCGTCTTTCCACTCGCTGAACATCCGCCAAATCGATGCACTTCTTCGGCCACTTTTCTACCTCGGCTTCGTCAGCATAGAAGAGGAGGGACTTATCTGCCATGACGCACCAGAACCTCTGCCACAACTTGAACCGTGAACTCAGCTTAGAAAGGGGACCGGCGTGATGAGTGCTTTTCTTTTGTGCTTCCAAATGTTCTACCTCCATATTGTTGTTGCTATCCTCAGTTGGAGGGACGTTATACTCTGTGGAGGCGGAAGAGCTTCGGAAGTGGCTAGTGGAGGGATGAGGAGGCAGTGAGGGGGTTATTTCAATGGTGGGTGTAGTGAACGGTATCCCAGCTGTAGAACGGGCCTCTTCAGACGATGTCTCTTCTCCACAAAGGCGGTCAAAATTCGTTCTCCGAGTTTTAAGAAAGTAGTTGATACTTATCTGCAATTCTTGAGCAGGTATGCTTTGTATGACAAAGCAGTGCCTTCGAGCACACGTGTAGGCATGCAGATGAGTGAACAAACTTCCTAATTCTCTGGCCACTTCCGTAAAACGGCTGAAAATTATTGCAGCATGGAGACCTTCTTCGTGAAGTGTTTTACTTGTTACTGCAGAGGATGAGAAGAAGTCATTTAAAAAGTCCTCCGATGGACCAACTTTGATCCTCGGTTTATGGGAACTTCGTTTAAGTGCTTGTCTAAGTGGATGGGGAACATAAGGCGACCTTTGTGCACGTTCAACAATGCTCTCGGCCCTTCCTGGACTAGATGGGGTCTTGAATGCCTCCTGTTTTGCCTTTTCCGCTACCTCTAAAACTGAAATTTCCAACCACTTTGACACTGAACGTCTGGCTTCTTCAGTCCCACGAATAATGCCCTTGCGGGGAGGGTGTTTATATGGTGATGAGGGAAGAGAGGCTGTGTATTGGAGCCGACGAGACAAAACGGGTGTCTGAGGAGTAGTAAATGTTCCTGAACCCACTGGTGCGTGGATGTGGGATGTTGATACGCTATTAATGGATCCCAAGGACTCGGTTAAATGCGATAGTGCTGGTGAGGATAAAGGAATGTGAAGCTCCCAATCCACCTGCTCTCCTGAGGCCTCAGAACTCGAAGGCGAATGGTAGAGCTCGATTACAGTTGTTGACGCCGTGGCCGTAGTATCAACCATTTTGCCAGCTTGTACCTCTTCTTCGGGGGGCCGACTACCCTCCGCTTCATCTGAGGAGGAGAGCTCTAAACTCATTTTTGAGACAGGATCCTGTTCAAGAACAATTTTTTCGAAGGTGTCGGAGAGACTCGAATACTGTGTGATTGACACTGGCCCGTTAGACTCTATCCAACTTGTGGATTCAGCAGAAGCTAGAGGTGCTTCAACGGTCCTGCTGCTTGGTCGTTCCACCTCTGCGGACTGAACGAGCTCACGAAGCAGGTTGGATACATCTTCCAGGTCTCTCCTCTGTCGAATGAAACGATCGGAGGCGAGTCGTCGTAGGACATGATTTAGTTGTCGCTGTAAGTGGGACTTCTCCTCAGTCAGGCGTTTATTTACCAACTCCAAGTCATGAAGTTTAGCAACAACAGTCATTCTCTCCTCCTGACTCCACGGCGATGGGACCGAAGGCTGTTCACCTGAGCCTTCTAAGGAACGTTCCGATGGCGTTTTTCGCATCACATAATACCTTCATTGGTGAAATGGGCTTGCGAATAGCAATAAAGGCGTATTGGTGGCTTAGAACCTACGCAACAACATAGTCGCACCCCGTGATTGAATGTGAATGGAATAATAGAATAATAGTAGTGACGATCGCGGAGGCTTCTGCGCTATCAGGCCAGCAGACCGGCTATGATGACCTAACGTTCATAGGTGTACGCGCGCACGCGTGCACTCCAGATGATGATGCTGGTGGTGCAGGCGATTCCTCATTGGCCGTCACCTTGGCTGAGGTGGATTGGTGATAGCGGTTAGTCAGCACGTGCGCGTGGTTACACGAGCGCGAATCAGCCAAAGGGGAGGCGCAGACCGGTGCCAGTGCGTGCACGCGTACGTGCGTGCGTGCGTAAGCATGTGACTGTGGTATACCGGCTACTCAGGTCTTCCCAACAGCCAGGAGTCGACGTTGCCATTGCGACAATGGCGGTTTCGCAACCATTGCCTTTGTGTATGCAATGATTATACAGCCTTTAGAGTCCGGTGCCGTACATGCGACAACTAATTTTACCCCTTTGTAGATGGGGTCCAAAAAACCGGTGCCACTTACGTAAAAGACTACGGGGTTACATGTGTAGCGCCCCGAGACTTCCCCTTAGACGTAATAAAATATAATGTCCGGGCAGAATATATCTATTCAACACGTAGTAGGAGTTTGGGGTTACTGATATGGCCCGTAGGCCAGCCTATCCGACGAAGGTACAATGATGGAGCTCCCAAGTGGTCCCCTTTACCAAAACCGTGAGTTAAACAAACACTCAACTCATTAGAACACATGGAAAGTTTTTTTCCAGTCAGAATGTGGTCGCTTTTTAATGGCCTAATAATTCAAATTCCAACGTCTAACATGTTAGTTCGCCCATGGTTTTCGAGTCTGATCCCCGGTGTCGCAAACATTTGACAAGTACAGTTCATCAATTCACGATGAATGCCTGCAACAAATCGTATCTTGAATGAAATTGCGTGGTCGGAAACAATGGAATGTATGTAGATTGCTCTTGGTCTAGGGATAATCACTTTTTCAGCTTTTAAACTGCATTTGAAATTGACGACCTGTGATATTGTAGAACAATAGAGCGCCTTCGAGACCACGCTGGAGGCCGCCTTCACCTCATCTAAGTATTTCTTAATATGCAGGTTAGTTGCTTCAAAGACGACTAGCCCTGACATCTGATACTCGGATACAAAGTCATTGCTCCTCGGAGGTGGTAGGAAAAAAATTAACTTGAACAACGGTGCTATTCCTCCGGTAGCTAGTGTTCTTCGGATCTTCAGACCATCCTCCGTCAAACTTCTCCAAAACAAAATGTGACGATCTTTAAAAAAACTTGCCCTCGGCTACTATTCTAAATGCCAGAACATTCTAACTGTTGTAATTGCGGAGCCATGATGATCTGAAGGCATCATTTTTACCTACATTGTGGTACCACCGGCCAGTTATTTGGGTGGCAGCTTGCTTTTTCCTACCTTTAAAACACTTACTCACTTGGCCTTAGGCTCAGTCAACCTTTGGCAGATCTCGGTGTTTACTGGATGTCACAATCAATCTCATCACGATTGATGAAGCCGGGAGAAAACTGTTTCACCATAAATTCCCAGCAAATTTGCAAATGTCTTTTAGTATACACATCCTTTTGGAGGGCCTTTAACACCTTCGATTCTAAAACAAGCGGAGCACTTTAACTCACCACCATTAAAGTACGACGGCTAAAGAGTCAAGTCTAATAAAGTCATTGGGTGGCTCATTAGTCCAAGGATCTAATCTCACTTTACTACCCTGAAACGGTCTTTTTGGATGAAAAATTTCGGCCTTATGGGATAAAAGCCGAGATGGGTGAATGTGTTCAATTTGTTTTTCCAACTAAAATTGGAAAACAAGGTGGGCATCACAGCTGTGCGATCCTTAAGAATGTTTACCTCCCATCAACTGAATAGATAAGATAGGAGGGAAGGGCGGGCCTCCATCTCTCTGACATTCGCCTTAATTGATGCACTGAGTGGGAAATGCCCCTGACCAAGTACCGGGCCCATTTCAAATGCAAATTAGGTTCCTCTTGGGATTCTACATCTCCTATGATGGTGCCGTACACCTTTGAAACAACAAAATTAAATAAGTCAAGTAAATTTAAGATGCCTATGTGATTTTAAAACGATGTCGGCCAATCATTCCTTTCTAAGTATGTCAGCTCGCCTTGAAGGGTGTTTCCTTGTATAGAGGTGCGCTTAGAAGAGTGTACCATTTGCCGCAGCGGCAAAATAAATTTTCATGGTCATTTTTTTGGCAATTGGTACATTGTGTTGACAACAACGTTTCAATCTGCTGATGGCTGGCAGTTTTTAGTTGATTGGATGGAAATATCTGAAGGCAGCAACTGTGGGTGAGGGTGTGCAGTTCTGGTATGACATTTGAAAACTCCCGGAATGATCGCAAAGCCCTCTGCTAGTATCCTCAAAGGTGAGAGAACGGAGCGCTGATCTCGTACTCACCAGACTTGTTTTTCATATCTATTAAAAGTGACAAGAACGAAGTAAATCGTAGATATTTTAGAGATACACGTTTAAGAACTCGTCCTTCTCATGGCGGAGAACCATAGACCCATACTCTCTACAAGTCGGTATGTAGGTGGCACATTGCAGAGCCACCCTCAGGCTCGGATTGGGATGAGCACTGGCTGAATCAGTAAATGCGATGCGTGGAGAGGGGACGAGTTCCCTCGCGTTAAGTTTTTTGCTAGCTTTTTTAATACGTTTTATCTAGCATTCACATGTTTTTTGATGGCAAAGCAGTTTTTTTAGTTTCGACTTAAGCGCGTTTAATTGCACAGGAGCAAAATGAGGACTAAGTGGTGTGTGATTCGGTCGGTGGCACACAGTGTCTTCGCTCACGACCGGTCCTATGTCACGCCACTTGGAGTGGGGCTAAATTACTTTCCTCTTTACTCAGGTGTCTCTCTCTCTCGCCTGCGTGCCTGGTGTTATTAAAAAGGGTTACACTTCAGCCATCCAGACCCTCACAGTCACAAGCGAGCTAGGAACACTTTCATGGCCTTAGGCGCTTGTGTTGGCAGGAGGAGTCGAAGATGTTGGTCTAAGAGTTGATTTGCGTTTTTTTGGGCGATCTATTAATAGAACGGATTTTCAGTTTCTGCCTTTTTCTTTAGCATACAAGGCAAGGTGAGAAAAATGTGGAGAAACTTTTGGCTAAACTGAAGAGAAAGCCAACTATAGGCAAGATTTTGAGATAAACTAGAGTGGAAAAAGAGGTTTAGTAATGCTTAAACAGCCTGGCGGAGTGCCAAATATGGCAAACGCTGTGAAAATTCTATGTTAATTTAAAAAGAGCCATGCGTTCTACCACACAATGCCACAGTAAAACATCTTCTGGTGAGAAATGGCAAATGACGCTTTGATTAATTCAGCTTTTCGAATTGAGCAAGGTCTTCACTCACGGGGTTGGACGCTGTGCCATGGCAGTGAGCTTTTGTACAAAAGAATTCCCTGAAGACATAATGCTTGGGCAGAATATGTATTGCCGATGCACAGAAGGGCTTAGGGGGGCCACTGACAGGCTCGGAGACCAGACCGCCCAACGGAGGTATAATGGCAGAGCTCCAAGTGGCCTGTTACCAAAACTGAGGGTCAAACAGTTAAAACATTACGAGATTTCCTCTTATATGGCTAGGCATTTGGCGTGGATTGTCTTAGTTAAGGTGGATGACTTAACACAACCGGAAAAAAGAATGCACAAGTATATGCCTAAATTCTGACTAAGCAAACCTAACTTCCAGTGTCCGAAAATAGATTTAATTGTTTAAGCCTCATTTACTCGGTCTCATTTCCATTGCTGATCATCCCCTTTAGGATCATCTTCCTATCAAAAAGGCAGGGCCAAAACCGAGCGTCAAGGTTTACCTTCTAGATCACTTTCACTCCCTCCTCTCATGTTACATCCTATGAAATAAAGCACTTTACGCTCAGTCCATCTAGTGGAATCAGTCAAAAGTGCTTAAGTATGAATTGTAAAGGTAAATCGAGGTAAACTTAGTATGGTCTGATGGATCCTAAGTCACTTTGCTAAAGCGGAGAATTCTTTTCACATACATTGAGATTCCCATCTAAGTTTCTTTACAAACGAAAGTATAGTATTTCAGGTGGAAGAACACTGCCTCCCTATTCATTTTGTTGGTTCGTTTCACGCCAACGTCGTGATTCTACCTTTCCTGCATTCCCTCCAAAGCAGCATTGTAACTCTACACACTTCTTGCCCCCTGAAAAACAAGCTTCTTTCGTAAAATGTGTCTTGAACTCGACTTCAGTTTTTTTCTCATTTCTGTGTCTGGAAGGTGCTGGCAAGGTTTCATCCAAATTATAAAGCCGCACGATGCTGCAGCTGCCATCGGCTTGCATTGGCATCTGGGATAAGTTCCCGTGCTACTTCCAGATATCCATTTTTGGTGCAAACCTAACCGAATAGTAGCGGCTTTAGCTCTTGGGTATAACTACTTCGTATTGTCGATTAAGAAATATGTAATATTAAACTCCAATTTTGCTTGAATTTCCCACGAATACATCTTACTGAAAAACGCTCCTCGCATTCACAGTTTTCGGTCAAATAGCGCAATGAAAATCCAGTTTTGGTTCTTGAGAAGCTTCCTTAAATTGGGTTTGAAACATGTTTTTTTGACATTGCTAAAAGATACTGATAGCAGTTAGGCGGAATCACTGAAACGTGCAAAATTTTTTTCAGAGGGGGAGCTGAAACTCCTGCTTGTTTTATACGATCCAAAGAGCTCGTTTCCTTCACATAAATGGTAGTTGGATAGATTTTTTACATAAAATCATAAAATGCCTATGCTTTTGAGGAAACAAATTAGATGGGGCGACAACGTGAACAGTCAGGCCCAAAATTTTGAAATTTTCAGTAGATTGTGACTCGCTCAAGGGAACTCCAAATGTGCAAACCATGTATTTCCAACGTGAGTATGTTCGGCACTTGATGGTCCGATGTTTACCATCCACAATGTGGTTGACTTTGAATAAGGGAATTGTGAGCAAGGCCGCTTGGACATCATTTTTAAAAATTAGGAACTAGCACAAGTAGGTTTTTACGTATTTACTGAGCCACCATGCAATAGAGTGAATAATAGCTACTCGGTCTTTTTCTTGTTGGTGTTTTACTGGGAATATCCTGGTAAAATGGTCCACTGTATTTTCTCACCACGCAGACACTACTCATAAATCAAGGTCTAATCCCTTGAGAAGCAAATGAGCCGAAACCGGTGCAAAACTTCCCCATGGGTCACCAAATCAAGATGGTTTGAGTTTTCAAAACAATGTGTGTCTTGTTGGTATGCATATGATTTGCTATTTAATTCACAAATCTTTAACTAGTCACACAGATAATAGTCCTCGTTTCCTTTTATTTCAGCAAATGTGATCCAAATTCAATTGTTACACATAGAAACCATCAAAACAGAGTTGGCCGCATGCATGCGATTCTCTCAATTTTGTTAGTGTGAGGATTAATAGTTCAACAAATTGCACATTATCAATATTTGATATCATCTGCGCAAGACGAGGTGTTAGCCGTATTTACTATTTTCAAACCTGGAGTCTCTCAAACTTTTGGGCCAGTAGATCTAAAGCACAGCAGTAGTTGTAGATCTTTGAGACCTCCCTGAAGAAGAATTAGAGCACAATACCCTGGCAGAATATATATACTCCACATGCAAAAGGGTCTGGGACTACCGGCATGGCCCGGAGGGCAGTCCACCTAACAAAGGTACAGTGACCCTGGCACAAAGTATTCCTTTACTAAAACCAAAAGTAGGCAACCAACGTATCGCAGCAGTGACTTAACATTTTGCTCATTCACTTCATTATCTCCAGTTCGGCAATCCACTCCGCAAAATGGCCTTCGAGTCATGCTAGTAGCCAGCTCCTCCGCATATTATTAATGCATGTATTTCCATACCACAGATTTCTGTATAAACTACCAGCTAATTATCAGTAGCTCAATATGCAAAAAAATAAAACAGGTAGGACTGTAAATTGCGATGTTGAAAACAGAAAGATGTTGAAGACGTAACTTGTCGATCTACCAAGCGAAGTAATGTACGGTGGCAGACAAGACATGCAAAGACATTTTTAGCTACCTAGTGCTCAAATCCATCGAGTTTTCCAGAATGATTTGAATCTGGCTTCATGAATAGTCTTTGACAGTAAACAACGTTTTTTCTCAAACCTCGGTGACCGACTTACACCACCTCTGAGTAGACTTCTAATAATATCTTTTTGTACAGCCACTCTTAATGTTCTTTTTAGCCATGTTTTTCTACATATAATTAAATGTAATGATTTTAAATAGGCCAAAATAAATTTAGACTATTTAAAAAGGCAGTTGACCCAATCAACGGCGCCGCCCTTCGTGTGTCTGCGTCCTGCCATGTGCTCTGATTCGGATCCTTTAACCGAATTTTTGTCGCTTGTTCCTTATGGTGACCGCAAACTTGCTACTTCAGCTATTCTTAGTCTACGGTCTAGATTGAATGAGCATATTGATTTACGTGCTTCAATAAATGGCCCTCTTCATCAAATCAAACGTTTGAAGCAGATATTTACGCATACACCAATCTCACTAAGACGATCCATGAGGTCGAAAATAATGGCAGCACTCGAGCAATGTATGGAAAGCTCTGAAGCCTCAGCTGTTTTTGTAACACTTCTCGTGATTATTGAGGCTAACAGCCTCCGGAATCCTGACCGAAGTGATTTGGAAACGGCTGATATCGTTAACTGTCTGCCTCCTCTGAACTCTCTCATAGGCAAACTTACACAGACTCTTCAACTACAACGAAGCAATTTACTCTCACTTCGTGCCTGGACTATTGCAATGCTTGTTTACACCTATCGCCAGTGCCTTATTTGGTGCTCTCGACAAGATTGTCTTGACCTAGAGGAACTACCCCTTCAAGAACGTGTTCCATTGGATTCTGAACTTTATTCCTCACCATGTGTTCCCAAGTTGCTCAAAATTGCCCTTGATTGCCAAGTGAATAATCTTCTTGTTCCTACTCCTAAAGATGATTATTTACTAAGTGATTTATTGTTGGCGAGCGCCTTCTCTGACAGCACTGTAAAGTACGTTGAACAGCATGATGAAAATAGCGTTTATAATATGCTAGAAAACCACCTTGATTCTGCTTGCGGTGCTCTCAAGCCGACTACCCATTTAAAAGTCAATACGGATCTCAAATCTTTGCCTTCGACCTCAGATGTTCATAATTCCCTTATAGCATCGAATCTGTTAAAGGTGCAGGAGTATCTACAAATATTTGAAAGACAGATATTAGACAATCCACCACTTCACGATGACTTAAAACAGATTTGCAAGGAGCTTATTCTCGGTGCTCCTGCCATTCTCCTTCAATCAGCAAGTGAACTTGATGGAAGCTCTGAAACCTCAGAAGATTGCGAATCAATTTATTGCAGCTTCCTCTGTGGATTTCTTCATGTCTGGATCTACGCTTTGGAAAAGCGCCTCATTTTTGAAGACATACCACAGTCTTACCTTTACCTGTGTGGTTTCACCAATGTCAAATTTCAGGTATATCTGTTAAATTCCAGTTACCTCACTACCTAGCTTGTAGTGCCACTCCCTTTTTACAGTTTTTTAATGCTCGTGAGAGCGTATACATTTGTAATTTCCGTAAGATCCAGTGTCAACAGATTTATCCAATGCCTGTTTTACTGTTTTTTTGCTTCAGGCTATGCGGTTGAAAGATTTCATTCAAACCGTCGGACTCGTGGCACAATTTCTTACCGTTTACCTTCGTGTGTTTAGATCAAATGTTCTCGCATCTCCACACTGGTTTTTGCAAATGCTCTCCGATTGTGTTACTGCGATCATCGATCGCCTTTCCTCAGGTAGTACTCCTACCGGTCGTACTGTTGTCTTGTCACAGCGTGGCATAACTTGTTGCCTAGCAATCGTCGTATAGCTTCCGGCTCAGTTTTCTGGGCCTTATTCAAGTCATATAAGACAGATTATTTGGTAGTTCAAATGCGCTCAAGTTAGGTACAAGCTTTGCTGTACACGCGTGGGAACTCTGAGGGACCAACAGCATAGGCTCTACCAACGCAGATCCGTTCCACCAACGTGGAGATCAAATTTTAGGAGAATAAAATGACGCCGCGGTCAGGCACATACTCAAAGCAAACATTTTTCTGTTATAGTTTTGTCATTTGCTGGAGGAGTTGTCAATAGCTCCTAGGAGATTAAAGTAAACGCTTCTACACTTCTGCTCATAGCTGTGGACGATGAAGAACTCACGATTCTGGAGTACGCCGTATCTCCGTGCATTGCTGCAGTGAGCAGAACTTGGATCAGCTTGCGAGCAGACGAACCAGACTCACGACCGGAGCTGTCACGAGCTGTTAAGGGTATCCTTGATATTATAGCGGTACGTATTGCAGCGGCAACGGTTCCCCAGGCTGGCGGGAAGCAAAAGAAGTGGCGGGATCAGTTCCCAGCCAACGCTCATCGGGAGTGCTCGGCTCTAAGACCACGGATGCGACATATGTTGAATCAGGGTTTGGTCTTCCCTATCCTTGATATGGTTGATCCCTGGGCACTGCAGCAGTCACGTGTTGGGTTGAAGCCAGCGGCGGCCTGCGAAGTGCTACGCACCCTGGTGACGAGTCACAGGGAGAGAGAGCGTTTGGCGAACGGAGAGCGGGGCACATCGGCAGCGGTGACAGCGTCGGGCTCTGTGGGCTCTGGTCGCCACGGCGTGGTCACTGCTCCAGCGGCTATCGGTGGTCTCTCTGGGGGACGTCTTAAAGCGAAGGCGGTAGCAAAAAGACAACAACGTATCCGCCAGCAGAAGCGCTTTTGAGAACTTGTGCAAATATATCAATTTAATAGTGTTATGATCTTTGACAGGTGTGGGTTGAGTAAAACGGATTTCCCTTGGTGGGTCCCGTGCCCCTTGGGCTCGCCGGTCTGCGTGGGGTTGGGTCTCTTGCGTACCTGTCTCGGCCGGGCCGATAGGGTCTGTTTGCTTGTGAGCCGGGTTGGTCTGGATGGGAGACTATCGGCGTTGTATGAATGAAGTCGTACAAATTCAAGATGATGGGTAGGGTGCTTACCTAGGATTGGATAAAGAGTTTGTATTCTTGGGTTGTATTGACAAAAAAGTACAAGGAAATGCAAGAATATTACTATCAATATACTCAGTGATAATACATTTTATAAACCTTTACTCAAGTAACTAAAAAAATTTAGTGGTCACAAAAATGTTTAACGAAAATTGTGTGGAAATCAAGATAAACATGTCCTGAGAATGCTTTTAAGAAAGAGGTGCAAATTGGAACAATTTGTGGTGCACAAGATCTCTAAGTTCGCGATTGGAGAACTTAAAAATTTTTTGCAGTGCATTTGCCTCTTCACTTCCAGGAAGTAGCCCTGGTTTGATTTATCGAAAGAGCTATGTGTTTGTAGTGTTTTAACTAATGGTGGAGTAATTTACCTCTGACGGAAAATAAAGGCGCGTAATCAAGACCGTAGCAGTGTGCATTCGAATGGTAGTTGGGTCGACAAAATCGAACAATGCGAGGGGGTTTTTACACCTACCTGGACTCTAATTTAACAAAACAGAAGCATCGTTTGAGCGTTTGCTTGACAGTCTTATTGTCGGCAATATTTTATTTAGTTACTTTTATTTCTCGAACACACTTTTTGTTCATTATGGTAATTGAATTGCAGGTTTTTCTTAAAATCTTTTTAGCTAGCAGGCTTTAGGCTCAAAGCTGCTTGTTTTTTTGGGGTTATGTAACTCACGAACATCCGGAGATATATTTATTTCGTTGATCTTAAAAGCTTAATTATTTATTGTAACTAATTAGGCCGTGTTATTTGTTTATTATACTTTACACTGCGTAGATTATGTTTGAAATCCTTTTATATCACTTATTAACATATTGTTGTTGTTGAAGTGGCCTAGAAAATTTAGATTACTTTTTTCCTAAAATCTTCCTTGAGACATATAACTACTTTTTTCTCATTGTTGCAATTAACAGGCCTAATATTGACATAGAGGTCTACCGCTATTTTACTTGCAAAGGCATTAGCGGCTTTTAATGAAAATAGAGCCTTATTTCTTTGATGGCAACCATTTAATTGTAAATAACAATGTTTGCATGAACCATGTTGCTCTAATATTTCCCCTTTTTAGCCATTACGTGCACCACTTAGCAGTGTGATATGTTGTTAATCTACTCCTTGATGGGTGCTTAAAAATATCTGATTTACTTTTGTCACTTCAAGTAATTTTTCAATCACATTTTCCAAAGATATACATAAGAACAATAAGAACAATGGCTTAAAAATATTTTAATTTAGAGGGCATGGACGCCGCATCTATTAAAGGCGCTGCACAAAGGCGATTAAAGTTGGAGAAGCAGAGGGAGATTTTACAGAAGAAGCGTCAACAGAAGCACGCTCACGAGGTACAGTCCTTACAGGCCAAGTCTTTCAATTCTTTGGTGGATTTCGGTCCGATAAGTCCTCGATCGACTGTAAAGACACCCAGTCGTGATTCGCAAACCCCGGCTTCTGAAAATTTTGGTGAGTTTGGTTGAGGCCTACTCATTCTACACCCTGCTTCATATAGGTCAATTAACTAAGGCACTTCTCCAGTTATTGTAAAACAAAGGGTTGAAATCAGTGCTAATGTAGTTTTGCCATCCGATTGACTAGTATTTAAAGTGACATAGTCTACTAAGGTGAGTATGTACAATGTTTACTTATTTTATTGCACTCAAATATATTTGGCTCGTAGTTTATTTCGCTGAAAGCTCTTTGTTCGACCCATAAATTTTTTGCTATGCAACATACAGTAGTGCTTTTGAATAAAGTTTTCCCTTAAAGCAACAAGTTATTTATAAAATGCATAAGATGTTGGGACAAAAATTTTTGCTGTAATATTCTCTTTTATTTGAGGTAATATATGTTTGCTGTTTAGAGAAAAGTAGATATCATAGGAACCAAAAACGATTTAAAGCAAAAAACGGCAAAATTTATTGACTATAAGACAAACAGATGAATCACTTTATATTGAAGACTTGTTTAAGAGTGATCAAGCAACCAACTCGAACTAGTAAATTCCTCAGAGGTGGCATTCTTAGATGGACTTAGTAAGTTAATCTTTTTAGTAAAAATGAGTAATTAGACGTTAGTCGACTAGCCCAATATGACTACTGACGAGGGAGTGGATTGTTAGCATTGTTGGTAAAAGTCTTAAGCCTGACTATGCATAGCCAGCACTTAGCTTACTAAGTATTTCGGTGATTTTTGCCAACAAGAATAAATTTTATGTAACCATATCTTTGTTTCGAGGCAAATCATGAACATCACTGAGTAGCTGAATTAAAGAGGTCACAATATTTACATCACCTCCTACGAAGCCTTCCAGATAAACGTTAATTGGGATTCGCATTATTACTGTTATTTGTCTTCGCTAAAAATAACACATCGTTTATACAATTTATTCAGTATCACACCGTTGTATGAAGGCAATGGTTTCACTGTTTTTAGTAATTAGCTTGAACCAGCTTCAGCGGACAATGGTAGTGTGATTTGCGCAAATCCTAGCCTCCTAATTGGCCGACCTACACTTTAATTCTGTGAGACAATGCCCAAGGCCAAATTTTTAGAGAGCTCTAAACTAAATGAGGTCATTAAAGCTGATATCCTACTTTGGCCAAATAGTAGAATGGTGCTTTTCCACCAGGCTGAATTTATTCAAACAAGCTCAATAGTAAGCTCCTAACACTGTGGAGCAAGTGAGCACCAAATTGCCATTCTTTTTCTTCTCAGCCCGATTGGTCCCCTTTTAAAAGAGAACCATCCATCTATGCAGATGGTTAATGAGATCTTATCATCTTCGTGAGTAATTATATGATATCAATGTGATTGCAGCATACGATGGTCCACAGGCCTTCGAGTTGGGCAACCCTGACCTTCTCGATCCTCCCATCCAGGTCCTGCGGGTCAGTGGTGATAAGAACGACACGGCTGCTCCCACCATTGGTAAGTGACTATTTATTTTTTGCGGTGAAAATTGCACAAGTTGCCTAAAGTAGTGAGTAAGCGTATGCTCGTAGACACGAGATTAGACAGCCCCTCCAGGCAACAGAACTCGTTGGCTTTTTAATTGAGAACCTGTTAGTTCACTTCTCATTTCAGTAAAAAACACATTACTTTCCGCATCTTTCACATTCCTGCATTTTTTGTGGTTTTAAACGCATTCCATGGTGAACCGAACAGTTGAAAGGAGTCACACCAACTTTTCAACTAACTGCTTAGCACTGTGCGCCAACACTGAGTGACTCGTTTTACCTCCGTTTGGGCAATAAATTGTTACAAATGGTAGAAGTCTAGCAATGGCATTGTGCTAAGGTTGATCTTTGAAGTATTTCCAAGTCAAATATTGTCGTTGACTAGCTTCTGCCACCTTGGTACAATGTCATTGTCGTGGGTTAGTGTCGCGCGACTCGATCAAAAACATGAATTTCGGAAATTTAATGCTTTAGGACCAAAAACTCGTGGACCATTTTTAAAAGCCAACAATTGCCCAGTCTTATGGAGTTTTTTTTGATCTGAAGCCTTGCTTCATGCTAGGGAAGTTGACTACCCTTGCTTACCTCCTCATTCATGATAATGTTGTAGCACTCCATCTTACGGAGTCAAGTTATAAGCTATAGCAAATTATTCCGAAACAAAAGCCTGTGAAGGCTATAATTTAGATTTCAATGCAGTTGTTTGTTTTTCCTTACTCATAAGTGGATGGGTGGAACAGAAGTTTCACGCACTGCTTTACGTTACTGTGGTTATGGGCTAAGTCTTAAAAGTAGGTTAGGAGTCAAGAGCTCCCGTTTTTTGCCATCTGGTCTCCTAAATGAAAAGGGCCTTTAAAATTTCTTATCTTTCACAAAAGCAACAACCCTCCTACGCCTTGATAACCCTAGAAATGGACTGAGTTTATGGCGTGTTTATTCAACCTCGCGCATCGTGAGTCCCTATTCAATGGAAAATTGTTTAAGCTATTTTCCTCATGTTACCTTCACAAATAATGGTTTCAACGCCTTCCCCTCTGCCTCTCCAAATGCTTTGCAGCTTAGGCCGTGTAAATGGTTTCAAAGACGTTTTGGAGGCAAAAAGTATATTTCGATTTTGAAGAGACCCCGCCCCATGGCTTCCGACGTGGGCACCTTGCTAAGGGCCTTAAACTACGGGTACTCCTTTTTTTGACAGCTTATTTTGCGTACCGAAACCATAAGTGTTCATTTTGTATCATTAATAGTTCATTTCTGCAGCTGTCTTACAATTTGCGCCGTCTGAGCTGGTGATCCTTCTGTAAATGTTGATGGATGGGTTCACATTCGCCTGAATCGCTCATTCATGACTTCCATTGGCATATAGCATCCGCTTGCAAACCTTGAGAACGTTCAAAGAGCATTTTGATGAGACGTCAGCTACCTTTTTACGAATGCAAGTTTCTTGTGGATAAATCTGTTGTGTCTCTATAATTATGTCTAGTTATAACTAACTGACGAGCCCTCCTGCATAATAGATGGAGCTGTCTAATCATTAAAAAGAGTTGGATACAGAAACTAGGTTCTTTAATTCATATCTTCTTCTGTTTAGAAAAAGTGCGTAGAAATTGGCCATCAGTGGCTGTAATACAATCTCCTTCACGAATCCAAAGTGTCCCGACTACGTATTGAGGCAGGAATTAATCTTTGCTTGAAGAAGGATTTTCCACTTGCTTTAATATAATTAATCTCTAGAGCTCAAGGGGTTTTTCATTCGTCCAGCTATTTGACAAGCAAAAGAAATGCGATTTCGATAGAGTCAGACACGGCAAGATCTGTTGGTAGATTTCGGAGTCCCAAGTCGCACGAAGTACTCAGTGCCTTTGGTTAGACCGCTTGGTCAATGAATGTCACCCATGCCCTTTTTTTAATCTTGAACATCAGCAGGATGACATCGCAGTGATCAGCTCTTTTAAATTGGGTACTATAAAAGTTGACAGTTGAACCTTTACAAAGCTGCAACACCTCTCTACTTCACAAGCCTAGCCGTTTAATGTGGAGATTTGGGAATGTACAAAGCCCGATTTTCTGGGGTATATTCTTTTTTACAATAGATTCATTATACACGCAGAGCGTCGTCACAAAATCTCGGTTGCTATATGGAGACCACTTTGTTGTCCTGGTAACGGGAAAACTAACTTGCAACATGGCCCAAGGCATGGCTTTTGCATTAGTTCAGCGAGGCCTCGAATTTCGCTGCTGATATTCCAAAGTCTTTATGCACATAGTAAATGCTGTTTAGATAGTAAAGATCGCTTTTGGTTTTATTTAAGATTTTTTCCAAAAAATAAGGTCGTGCTTTCCTTAGGTTCTAATTCAGATGACTTTATAGGGTCTGAAATGGTGTTCCAGCAGGACCGCAAGATATCTTAGTTCCTAGTATTATTATCACTAAGGTACCACTTTACAAAACATGAAAATTACTTCTAAGACCTTTCACCCTTTATTCTTCATCATTAAACAGTGAGGAATTTCGTAAATTCGGGCAGGAAGTGATTTACTCCTTTTCAAATGATAGAATGTGGGTTATCCTGCCTTATCATCGAGGCATATTCGGTGCCTAAAAGGCACAGACGCAGGTATTTGGACGATTCCGACATTAAAAGGTGTCAATTGAAGGTGAAAGGTTGGAAGTAAGCCGCTTAGAATAAATCGCCCGTCACATCCGTAAAAGCAGATATTGCATGATTTCTTAATCTTAGGGCAACAAAATCTAACTAATTAAGGAACCTTTATTTCGGTATACAATAGCTTAGTAGCGATAACAAGAATTGAGGCTGAAGAGCCGACTGAAACAATACTGTACTTGTCAGCCACTCCAAAGTCTTCCTCGAGAGAACACACGGACACCCCAAAGACCTACCAGGCGATTCACATTCCACCCATTCGACCGGTGAAGTTGCCACTGCCTAAAACACCCCTAACGGGAACAGACCGAAGGTCGCTTTTTGAGTCTATGGAATTGGAGGAGGTGGAGGAGGATATATCGACTGCAGCAGTGAAGTTGAGGTCGAAAGTGGAGAGGCGAAAGGTACGATCTGTGACTCGTAGACAAGTCAAAGCGCCTCTCAGACCGCACAGCGCTATGGAGGCATCGCAGAGACCTCCGATCAAGACAAATAACCTCATCGACTTCGATAAGGCTGATATCCTTGTCATGGAGACGTCTGTGGCGTCTGCTACCGCAGTTCGCTCGGTTACACCTTCGACGGTTAGTGGATTGTCATATCAATGGGTAAGTTTTAGGTTGTCGTCCTAACTATATCAATTACTGGTAATCTGACTTCCAAGTTCGTCATTTCAACTCGTTTACAATCTCAAAAATCCAAAGTCATCACGATATCCCAGCTGAAATCTTAGCGTTAAACGGATCAGCCTATTAGGGTTTGGGGACCGGATCCATATCATGTGGCAAGCACTCTGGAATGGCGTGCCCACAAGAGTGATTTTAGGCCAAACTATTTCTATAAAAGTGTATCTTTTTTCCTACAGTCATACAATGGCTTCTATTGTCCTACTGTTTTTCTTCCATTAGCTCAGCGTAATTCCTGCATTTGGAGTAACCATTTTTATTGTTCACGCCCCACTTTATTTCCTCCCTATTTTATGCATAAGGTGGCAACTTGGACGCAAAATATGCCATTGAAAACGAAAGCATCCGCATTAGTATGGCTGACTTGAAGACTTGAAAAGTTTTAAGTCGTATTCTACTGTAAAATATCTGGCAGCCTGTCTTTTAGATTTTGTGACCTTTATGTTAACGAAGGTGGGATTTGGTACGAACATGAGTCTGGTGTTGATGTTTATTAATTTAAGCTTTTGGAGGAGTTCAAAGTGCCCTTGATTGGCATGCCAAGTGGGCATTTACGTAGGTGGTGGATGCAGAATTCGTCCATTGGAATCCATTTTATTGCCAATTCAATGCTGCCCTTACTGTTAAAGCGTCCTCCCTTCACAAAGGCAATTTCTCTTGCATGCCTTTTTAGTTAAGTAGAAGTTTATTATTTAGTAGGTTCATCGTCAATTAATAGTAAATGTAGTTTAGCGTCCCAAGTCTGTCCTGAAGTTGAAAGAAGACGTAATGTTAGGGCTGAATATGTATTACTGAGGTACAGAAGGACAAGAAGACTACTGACATGGCCCAGAATCCATACCGCCCACTCAACGTACAAAGGCGAAGGCTCAAGTGCCCGTAAAACCAAAACGAAGAGCTAAATAAGCAATCAAAATAACACAACAGTCTCCAGAATCCCAAATGTTGTACCTTAGGTTTGTATAAAATGAAGCCGGTAATTCTTTTACATTCATAGCCACATTTCAATGCACATTCCCCTGTTGATTGTGAATTTTCTTGCCATTCCTAGTCGAGGGAGAGATTCCCGGAGCTTGTCAGGATGTTTGCGATCCCGCATACTGTTTTGGCAAGTGATCACATCTTCGGTTGGTTGAGTTCATGAAATCTCTCCACTGGGAGACCTTAAACCGCCCCAACTTCTGCAGCCAATCACCTTGTGTTAAGAATATTTTAATTTTTCGTCAACTAGGTCGACAATTTATATGTGAAAGCTTACACGGCTTGTTACTGTTCCAGATCAGTCCTCCAGAAGTTTTCATTGGTAAATGGTAGTACAGTATTCCCATTTTTTATGTCGGCAGTTTTATACCAGAGTGTTAGAGGAAGGGGCTCTCTCTGAAGTTATTTTGTTTACTCTAAGCAATCCCCAGAGATTAAGCACAAGTTCCTACTTTTTTTGAATTTAACATTTAAGGATGTATGGGACATTAATATTATAATTACGTTAATCTATAATCCTATTTTGATTAAGCGGAAGTTTTATTGCATTAAGATTAAAATTCACGTACTTTCAATGAGACGTTGAAGCCACCTTTTGATAGGTATTTCTGTATTGTTCCTAATATTTCTTCAAGACGAAAGAAGTCAAGTACTGGGATAGAAAATGTTTTGCCAACATTCAAAAGGGCTGGGGGGCTACTGACATGAGCTGGAGATATGCCACCTACGGGAGACATTGGCAGAGCCCTAAGTGCCCGCATAACCAGACTTAAGGGTTAAATAAGCAATTAACATGTTACACAGCCCCGGCCCTTCTCTCTCCTTATGAGCCTCTTGCCAGGCAATCCTATTGGTTAACCTTCCGCGATGGCCATCGCACTGTAGTCGGAGCTGTAAGGAAAAACACTCATGACCCAACAGCGCCAGGTGTCGAATTTGCTTACAATAGAGAAGACATCTGCCTGCAACGCCACTGATACCTCTTGGCAATTTCCCTGAATCTATAGTCTTGTGCTGTTTGGAAACTGTATTGGGTGAAGAAGGATGCTGCTGGCCATCTCGTATGTCCACTGCTAGCAGTGAGAACATTGGCCTAAATGCGATCCCTCGATAAGGAACAGGGGTAAAGTTTCACGTTTATTCCTCCTCGCCACTTAGTTCACACTTCAGCGCTGCCTAGCCACATCTATCCGCGTTCTATCCAGCCAGTAGGAAGATGGAGAGGTATCATTTGCTCACTTGATTAGCATTTTGACACAGGTACCATTGACAGCTCCGTAAAGAACATTTCCGGATGTTTTACAGTTAGTGTTGTTTCTGTTGTTAATAGCTTTCCCTCAGAACAGAGGGATTGGGGTAGTTGACAAAAATGGGCGTCATTTTCAACTCTTCCATTGAGGGTCTTCACAGATTCCTCCATCCTCAGCATGTGCCCTTCTTCCGTCACGGTAAGATTTAACATTCAGGAATGAATATAAGGGTAGATAATCTTTAGGATCGGGTCAGCTTTCCGTTGCCACAAGTGTAGCGCCTGAGTCTTTCCTAAATTCGAAAAAGTCACAATACCAGGACAGAAAGTGTATTACCGACGTACAGAAGGGCTGGCCATGTCGCCCAGCGGAAGCACAAAGGTGGGGCTTTAAACGCTCGTTTAATTAAAACCGAATTTTTAACAAGCCATCAAAGTTTTCCAGTTTTAATGCCTAGGCAACCTATCAGCTGACTATCCACATCCTTTCTTTCTGGTGCCAACTCGCTAAAGTTGTTTTGTTTTGAAATAGTTATGACGAAAAACATCAAAATTACCCCCACATCACAAACATGCTAAAACAGCCTCATTTTAATGGATTGGTAACTTGGAGGCAGATTAGACTTCCTTGCCTGTTCGAGCGAATTTTGGAGATGTCTGTTGGTTTCTTATGAAAGCAAAAAAAACGGGCAAGAGGAAACAATAGTTACAATTACCCTCTTTTATCGTTCCAGTGGCGCTACTCAGCGTCTTTGAATCCAAAATACTCTTACGATCACTTGCTCACCTTTGACACCAACTCTGGAATATCACCGCATCACCCGTCAAATTCACCCAGAATAACATTAGTTTACCTCTGTTTCACTTTCCATTCTTACAATTAACATCAATCTGTAATATTATTTATTATACAAACAAATTTATGATAGGTACTTTCTACAAATTTTTGCAATTTATGAAGGCAGGTTTTCTTCCAAGACGGTATGAGAATCGAAACCCTACTGGCACTTGTAATAGGCTTGGCGTTGCTCTCCACCTCTGCCTTCATACCCTTGGAACCAGTAGGCGAGTTGGAGGAGGACGTGCGTTATGGGTTAGCGATAAGTAAAAGGGCATAGATATTAAGGTTCATTTCCTCCT